TATTCCAAATTCTTGGGAAGTGGAACAGGCCGGGGGATGTCAAGGTAAAATCAAATCAGTAGAGCAAAATGGAATATACATTTAACCTATATAATCCCCCGGGGAAGTCTCATGATTTGGTTATATACTATCTCATACAATTCACTCTCTCCTTCTAAACCTCTACATGGGTTGGAACACTATGTCTTCAAACAATATGCTCCCCCAGGAGGCTTACTCTGACTTGTTGAGTTTCACATTTGATGGCCCAAAGCCATACAACCAGAATCAACCACTGTTCATTGATGCCGAGGATCCTTCCCGGTCATTTACAGCAGCCCAATTCCGACAACTAGTCCGGACCCTGATCGCTGGTTTGAAAGCCCATAATGTCCAGCCAGGGGATTGTGTATTGCTACACTTGGGAAATAGCGTGAGTGAAAGACAAAAAAAGCAGAATCCTTGAAATCAAAAATCCAATACTGGACTAAAGATTCTCGGAAAATAAAAGAAACAATGCTGACTCAGGCGTGTCATATGCAACAGATACTATATCCCGCACTCTTCTTCGGTATAATTGGAGCCGGCGGTGTCTATATGGGATCAAACCCCCGAAGCCACCCCCAAGAACTCGATCACATCCTCAGCCTCGCCGAGCCTAAACTGATCCTCACAACGCGCGATGCCCTGCCCTCCATCCTCGAAGTCTCCGCTGGCCGAGGCATCCATCCAGCGCAGGTCTGCCTCGTGGACGAGCGAGCCATCGACCACTGCGCACAACTATTCCTGTGGTACGAACTAGGGTATTCATCGGCAGGACAATTCTGTGCAATGAATGATGCACGTCACAACAATTTCGCGAATTTACTCTGTTTCGGCGAAAGCGACTGGCTGAAGTTCGCCGACCATGTCGTCGCACAAGCCACGCCTGCAGCCATGTATCCGACCAGCGGTACTGGCGGACTTCCCAAAGCAGCAATCCTGTCCCACTATGCGCTTGTTTCACAGCACCGCACCATTTACTACGAAGTGCCGCACCCAGTTAGCCGGCTCATCTCGCTGCCCATGTTCCATCTGTTTGGTGCTCTTTGGACGCATCTCTTCCCTGTTCGCTACGGACACCCGCTGTTTGTCATGCCGCGCTTCGAGGTCAATGATTTCTTGGCTGCTGTCCACAAATACCAGATCTCCGAGACTTACCTGGTCCCCGCTATCATTCATGCTATTAACCAGTCGACCGTGCCCATCGGTGATCGACTGTCATCGCTGCGCTATGTTGGTGTCGCTGGCGCTCCTATTGATGGCCATTCCATGCAGGAGTTCCGCAGCCATATCAACCCTATGGGATATGCTTGCCAGATCTGGGGCATGACCGAGGTCGGTGTGGCATTCCAGACTCGCTGGGGCCAGCAAGGTGACCCTGGAAGTATTGGCAGGTGTATTGCCGGGTATGAGGTCCGCTTGGTGGAACATGATGGGAAAATTGTGCAGGGTGATAACTGCTCGGGTGAACTGTACGTCCGTGGACCAGGTCTTCTCACTGCATACAAAGGCCGCACAGACGCATTGGAGCCACATGGATGGTTCCGAACGGGAGACATAGCGTATGTCAAGCAAGGCCAGTATTATATTGTTGGACGGACAAAGGAGCTTATCAAAGTACGAGGGTAAGTCTATCAGCGCCAGTTTCTTCATCAAAACAAAAAGCTAATCATTCTACAGATGGCAAGTAGCCCCAGCCGAAGTCGAAGGTGTCCTCCTCCAACACCCGGGAATCCTTGATGCCGCCGTGATAGGCGTGAACAAAGATGGGGTAGGCGAGGTCCCACGCGCCTTCATCGTGCGCTCTCGCGACCCATCCGTGCGCCGTCTAACCGGCGAGCAAGTTTACAATTATGCACGCCAGCAGCTGGCCAGATACAAAGCTCTCGATGGAGGTGTCGTATTCGTGGAAGAGATCCCGCGCACTGCAAGTGGAAAGATCCAGCGCTTCAAGCTGTCCCAGATGAACTCGTACCGTGAGATGGTGGCGTCCCTGCTTTCCCGGTTCGAAGGTGACGGCTCTGCTGCAGCCACCGCGGCCCGACGTGGACTACCCGCTGCGGCTGAGATGTCGCCTGTTACTCTCATTCCTGAGGGACGAGTTGCAGTCTAAATTAAGAAAGTGGGGCACAGTACTTTGCACTATCTACGGCGCATATGAGTTGTATCGCACTCATTCGGCGGTGAGGTGGTGCGGTGAATGGGACAGGGCACGGCGTTTGGATTAGAACACGGCGTTGTCGGATATTTGGTTTTTTGTATTTACTTTTTCTTGATGTTTTCGGGCGGTCATCACACGTCTACTTTTACGACTCAACCTCCTTATGATGGTTCCTCAATGGACTTGTTATCATTCATTCACACCAGCATTACCTAGTATCAGCGGGTTGTCTACATAGCACTGCTGATTCGTATCGCAACATTATAAATCACACCAGATCCACATTCGCGGACATAAATCTATATCCAGTCGTCAAAGTAGAGGACCTACATAGAAAGTAAAGAACCTAGACCCTTCCGGAGGATCCCTACCTTCGAGCCACAAAAGCCGCAGCATGCAGTAAGACTCTATAACATCCCACACCGCACTTCCCTGTCCCATCCCAGAGCCTCGTTCTCGATCTCGGATCTCGGCTTGCATCCGTGGAACAAGAAATGTGATGTATAAACCGGCGAAAAGCAATTAATATATTCCAGGGCTGCACGGCGATCCCGTTCGCATCATGCACATGCGAGGTCCCAACGTACAAAGTACATGGGGCTGAGTCGCACGGAATCCGAATCCCAGCCCCGATCTTGCAAATCCCACGATGAAGTGCATCCAGGCCAATACTTACGCAGGCGTGCACGGGTGGACCCCGGGAACACCGTGGACGTTCCGTTCCAAGGTTCCCTGCAAGGGGGTTCCTTGGTACTGGGGCGGGGATCGACGGAGCTAAATATGTTAATTATTGAATCCCGATTAGGTTGCATGAAGCCCCCTTGGCTTTGGAAGTTAACTTCGCCTTGTTTTGGGTTTGGGTTTTAGAGTTCGAAGAGAAACTACCTAGGTATATGGGTAATACATATTCAAGGTGCTCTGTACAGCAGGTCCCGTTCCAAAGCTCGTCCTAGATTTTGCTATTTCTGTGTTGTATTTGCTCGAACTTTGCTCTTTCCGGATCGGATATGGCCGCCCCCCGGGCCGCTCTTCACGGGTTCAATCCGCTTCACAAGGTTCGGGATGTTACATCGGCCCGATGGAACTTCTGCAACGTCAGCGCTACCAGGTATACGGGACTCCATGTTTGGGTCGATATCCTTGCTTTTCTCGATTATACCTTGCCCTGCTTTGGGTATAAGGGGAAATACCAAATCACACCTTGCATGAGGCCAAAATATGGATACAAAGGACTCTAGGGAGACTGATACATATGACTCAGAATACGATGTCATCGGCAATAGAAATGCAAAATGTACCGAGTCAACCCATGTAAACATCTTCCGAATCACCAGGCCAGCTACTCTGCAAAGTAGTTTCAATATTTATTTTATTTTTTAGTTGGGTGCTGCGCAGTGTATTTGTATTTGCATTTGTTGAGCTTGACCTATGCGTTGAAAAATATGCGCTGGAAAAGCTCGGCCGAAATGTCTACATGTCAAATCCACGGCGTCAACATGCCCAGGTAGTCGGTACGAGAACAAGGTACCGAGAAAATAAAATTCCAAGCACAATCAAAATCGAGGGAATTTGTTCTGTCCATGTATCTACAACACGTGAAACCAACAATCACATGAAAGACGACCCTGCAAGCTGCTCAATCAGGGATTAGTAGTTCTAGTAGCATATCTATAGAACTCTCCCACCAGGATCCGACTTGAGCACATAAACAGGAAAAACAAAGTTTCGCTCTCGGTCCTGGGCAGAGCCGCTTGGATAGGTGCCTATGTCTATCTCGATGAAGGTGTGTCGTTGACCTCGATGGGCCTCCATGGAGAGGCTCCACTGTATGTTACGGCTGTCCCAGTCGGTGAGAAAGGGTCGGATGAAGAGGAATGCCAAGGCCAGACGACTGCCTAGGCGGCGAGGTTGTGCAGGAATGATGACAATTAGACGGAGTCTGCGTACACGGAAAATAGTGTCGATGATTTCTCGTCTGACGGTGATCGCATTGACGGGTGAGTAGCCAATAAGGGGATCATGGTGGCGTCGGGACATTGCGACTTGGGAAGATTGGATTTGTAGAGGATTTTCTCGCTCTTCGGATGTGCTGGTGAATCGTACTTATTTGACATCAATTGATACTTTGGACAAGAGGCTTTGTATATTCTCCTGCCATTGTGGCATATGTCTCTATCATGGTCATCTTTGCATGCCTGCGTTAGAGTGGTTCATGTTTCAGAGTTGGGATCAATGCCTCTATATAGCTATTCTACCAATTGGGATGGATCGATGAAACCTATCTTGAGATTTTCGTTTCCAATTCTCATCAAATCAATCAGAATTCTTCCCCAATGCAACTCCTGTCCACCTCAACCATTCCTTATGGTAGATTCACACTCTCTATCCCCAGCCTCAAATAATACCATACCCCATCCACCAAACCCCCCAAACCAAAGGTCCCAATGCCCCAAGCACAGCTGCCCCGAATGACAGCTCCAGAATGCACCAAATCCAAATAGTCCCAACAGCAGGCGCCTTCTTCATAACTGCATAATACGGCTCTCCATTCGTGATAGCGATAAGGTGCGCGCCTAGCACAGCAGAAACAGGAAGAAAGACCAGAGTCTTCAGCGTGGGCGGGAAGACCAGCATTCGTAGGAATGAAAATGTCAATTTGTCTCTTGTAAATGGGAACAAAGAAAGAGGAGCAAGTTCTGCCTTTGCATTCTTTGAACTGAGCTTTTTGAAGGAGATGATATGACCATGTGCTAGGTGGACAAATAAAGTGAGGAGAGGAAATGCAGTTGTCACGGATTCTTTGAAGAGTTTTGGCAGGTCGATTCTTTCCGCGTATTGGTGGGCTGCGAGGTAGCTGAGAGTGAGGTGGAGGGTTGTAAGAGGCAGGGAAAGGAGGATTGTGTCGAGGAATGGTGGAAGGGGTTTGTCGGGTTCGGATTCGGAGTCGGATTGCTTGACAATGTTCGCATTTGTACGCTGTTGACTTTTCTTGGTCTTCTGCGAGGCATTTGACGAGAGGTGGCTGCTGATGTCGCCGTCGGTGTCGACCAATTCCCCAGACGCGTCGACTGTTACGAATCGGGTTCCCCCTGACTGTGGCGGTATGCCTTGTGCTTCTACCGAAGCTGGCATTGCTCCCCGCTTTTGATGGAGTCCGCTTTGTCGCTGTGCGATGATGTCATATAGCGTGCGCTCAACAGTCGGTTTGTTTTTGGTCGGATCATTGCGTGGTGGATGGGCCATGGCGATTTCCGGTTCATCGCTTTTAGAGGAAGATCCAGCTGCTATGGGGTGCTGTTTGCGATTCCTTGGAGCTTCCATCTTTCTCAGGCTTGGTGTGGAGGGACGATGAGTGGCGGGCCGAAAAGTTAACAAACACTGACGTGGAGAAATGAGTTTGAGGGCTCGGCGATAAGCCCCATAAAATCGGGGTTAAGGTGATCGCCAGTTGGCTCCCAGATCTACGTTTAGATCTATATTTCTTAGGCTATGATAGTAGATAGTAATTGGGATATTAACGTGAAAACAAACTTTTATAAATTGATCAATCCTGCTAATCCTCTGCACCCTTTGACACACCTAGTAAATACCCAGGCTGACCACTCATTCAACCAGCCTGGTACAAAGCTGGACCGGCAACCACATGTGGGTTAATCAAGCTCAGATTGAACGGGCTGACATACGGGTCACTGTCCGTGATAGCAATAAAAATGGTACCATTGAAAGCTGGGTTACCTTGGTAAGTTTCCAAGTTGGGCTGGGTAGTGTACCCTCGAACGCCATCAACGGTACTGTTCGTACTATTGGTACTGTTGGTGCTGCTGGTGCTGTTGGTTCCATTGACAATGTGCAGAGGGGTGTAGGTAACGTTCAGTTGTGACACCCAAAGGACATACTTTGCACTACCAGGTTTCGTCTCTGTCGTGGTGATATAGCTGTTGTTGGGACCGATTTTCTTCCCGGGAAGATCCCACTGCAACAGCACCCTCCGACCCGGGGCTGTGAGAGGTAATGGGCGAACCTTGCTAACAGAGGCGCTGCAGCCATTAGTCGAAGTAGACGAGTTGAATTTCCCGGAGCCTTTTGGTGACTTGGGGATGCTGACGCCTGGCGCGACAGTATTGTTGATTCCGGTGGTCTGATTGAAGCCAAATCCTTCAGTCTGATTGAACCCAGAAGTTGTGTTGAGTCTTGAAATCTGATCCTCACTCGAAGTAAAATTGTACCCGGTGGAATTGTACGCAGCAGAATTATGCGTGATAGCAGTGGACCCGGTGGCATTGTACCCAGTAGCATTATACCCACTTGTTATGTTATCACCAGAAGAAAAGTTGCTTGAAATTCCTGAAATCCATGGATCGGGCTGATTGACCACCATTAGCGTTGGGAAATTTTGCCAAATCAAGCGCGTCTGGTTTTCAGGACAAGAGCTGATGAAAGGCGCCAGCAGCGTCCAACCCCAAGATTGCGGTATGGCGACTTCAAACCACTCGACCATCGGGAAGAGACCCTCGAACTGGCGGAAGATCATTTGCTGTCGTGCTTCTGTGGTGATGGCCTGAGTCAAAAGATTGGCCGCCTCACGAGAGTCAAGATGAGGCAAAAACCCATACACGCTAGATTCTCCCCAGCGCGTAAGTTTCTGACAGAAGTCGACAAACTCCTTGACGTTTGTGTACGGGTAGATATAGCTGCATTTCTGCGGGGCATGGGCTCCGATGATGTTGCTGAGCATAGTCGCGTGGCCTGTCTCTTGCTCCGCCATGAATGCGATCAACTCGCGGTCTGCAGCGGTCATACCGGCGGCTCGGAAGGCTGAATCGTTGAAACGTCTGAGTCCGTCTTGGAACAGATCGAGCTCAATCCATTCCTGATATAGGGCAAGGGCCTGATTGTAGTTTAGCTTCTGGGCCACAACACTGCTTTATCAATTTAGGGCGGATGCATACTAAAGACTCGTAGTCGAAATCGCTCTTCGTGTTGTAGACAGGCGTGCTTCCGTTGGTCCCGAGCCCACCTGCCGGGACATATGGAGCAGGCTCGTTATGATGAAGCTTTCCATCAGCAGGATATGTTGTCGCTCCAGCTGCAACACCTCCGGGAGAGACACTCGTTCCAATGGAAGAAGCTGTCAGCGCACCTGTGGTAGTCGGGGTTTCAGTAAAGGGGGTATGCGGCATGGAGTTATTGAAACTTCGAAGTGGCGGCGCTGAAGTGGACGAATTGGATATGTCTGAAGATGACGGTGACGGGTCAAGGGTTGTTGTTGCATCTTTGTGGTGCTTCTTTGGAGAAGCGACGGCGAAAGGCAGTGAGCCCAATAGGCTCAGCAGAATGATACTCTTCCGGATCATCTCTGCTCAAGTTTGAGATTTCTTTAATTCAAGATAGAAGAAGATTTCTTAATCGCTGGCCATCGAGTTATTGGGTTAGTTGTATTGTTCAAAGGCCATCGGAGGGGTACGGACCTCATGTAAAGCACCTAGGTATACCTAGATATATACTGATACTTCAGTCAATATTAGCATAGAAATGATCACCAGCCAAGGCAATCCAAAATCGGGTGTCCGTGTTTTTGATGCAAGAAAATCGCACGGTGAAGACGCCATCTTCAGGGCTCAGATGTGGGTAGCTTTGAGCGGGAATGAATTCCGAATGGTGGAATTGCCACATGGTAATGTTAAGGTTCTTTTGGTGTAATTTTAAATGGCAATTTATTCTTGTCGGGGGCGTTCTTTGTACGCTTGGTCAAGTAGTTGCGAGACACTGCAATTCACACTTAGAGAACAACCCCCGGGATGCCTCGGCAACTAATGACGTCGGAGTAGGCTTGCCCTGTCAACATTCCATGGACCTGAACAGACTAACGTACAACTCGAGATGTCTGTGGGGGTGGAAATCGAATCCGGCCGGACGATGCCGGATAGCGTTTCAGGGAACAAGGGGAAAGGCTATAGGGAACTCGGTTGAACTATCAGCATAGTAAATATATGACAAGGAAAAAAAGTAGTTGAAGTTCTACAAAGCTCTAGAAATATAATTGCTCTCTGGGCACTGATGGAGCTCGCTGACATGGAGACGCAATCTTTCCCATATAGATATTCCCTTAACCACAATATCAGGCACACAAATGCCAGAGCAGTCAATCAACTCAACTCTATAAGCACCAGACTTCACTGCGTCCGCCAGCCACCCTCGCCCGAAAAGTATCCATAAGTGTCGCAATGGGGCACGTTGGCAGTGATCCTCACACCATTAGACCAAATAATCTCCATAGTAGAGCCCATAATAGTCGCGGTGAAAGGCTCACGACTTCGCAGGGACTGGCGGATACTTTCGAGCTCTTTCCATGGGATATTCACGACTGCAGGGGCCCGTTGAAATGGAGCCGCTGGTTGACCGCGAGCATTCTTCTCGAATACCCATGGCTCACCGTTAATCATGAATACACCAGCCAGGTAATTGCCATTCTGGCTGGTTAGGGATCCCATCCATTGAGGCATGACTGTATGGTCAGTGGGAATTCTTGTGATCTTCCTAGAAGCGGTGCTTACTGGGCCTTTAGGGAACCTCGAGAGATGTGAGAAGGGGACAGTATGGAAGGGGGTAGGGAGGATGTGTCGTGTAGCTCAGCCGTAGATATATAATTCAGGGCTGTCTTGTGATCGCCCATACTATAAATGGATGTTCCACAGCACCTTTGACTGTGCTTCTTCACCGCTCGTTTTCGTTATGCTGCAGGTCTTACACAGCCTTTGAGGGGCTATAGGGTATATGATACGAGGATCCAAAGAGGATTCTTTAACCGAGCGTAAGAGCAAATCATGTCAACGTAAAGTACCTGCATAGGAAGCATACTGGAATCTGACCTGTCACCGGCTCCAGCGGAAGTGGACGATCAGCGTTCCCGCATCTAGTTTCCGCATTTCATGCCCGTGGACATGGACATGGACGTTTCTATGCTTAGCACTTTATGGTAGCGCTGATCGTAGGAATGGGGATGTTATAATCGAGGTACTGGTGCTCCCTTAGGACTTCTTTATCACTTATTCAGGATAGAAATATGGAATTACCCAACTACTATACACGTTAATAGGAACTACACTGACAACAATGCTCTTTTACAACTATAGGAATACCATAATAATTTACACAGTTTGGGTGAGAACTGCGGCGGCAACGTTGATCCAAGAGAGGGGCAATCCAAGAATGGCGATATTGCGGATATTGCGGGGAGTTGAGTACTCATCCCTACATATAGAAAATATCACTCCCGATTGTATTTCTCTTTACCCAAGTCATTAAACTAACCCAATTGATCACCATGGCCCATCTCCAAGCATCGAATCTATTCTCAGTCAAGGACCGGGTGGTCGTGATCACCGGAGGCGGAAGTGGTAAGTCCCAAACGATCACATCCTACAGACGCAAACACGTACATATAGGCTAATATAAACACAGGCCTCGGTCGTATCATGGCCAAAGCTCTGGATGCCAATGAAGTCTCCAAGATCTTCATCCTAGGCCGACGCGAAGACGCGCTACAAGAAACCGTCTCAGAAACCATAAACGGCACCGTGATCCCAATCCAATGCGACATCACCTCGAAAGAATCACTCGAGACAGCCTACAAAGCCGTCGCAGTTCAAACAACACACGTCGACCTCCTAATCGCCAACAGCGGCGTAATTGGTCCCCGCATGAAGCCCCCGCAACCCACAGAAGACGGGTCCCTCCCGCCGCTGTCGCAAGTCCGCGACGAACTCTTCAACGTCCCCATGGAAGAGTTTAACACAGTGATGAATGTGAATGTCACTGGGTCGTATTACACGGTGCTGGCGTTCTTGCCTCTGCTTGAGGCGGCGAATAAGAGACGCCCCGCGCCGAAGGACGATGTCCTTGCTGCCCCGACTGCGCAGGTTATTATCACTAGCTCGCTTGCTGGGTTTAGTCGCACGGTATCATTTAGCTTTGCCTATAACGCTTCCAAGGCGGCTACGACACATCTCGTCAAAATGCTTTCCACCTCGTTTGCTTATTACAGTATTCGTGTTAATGGCATCTCGCCTGGCCTTTACCCCTCTGATATGGCCAATCATATGTTCCGGGCCTCCGGAAGTCAGGGTCGTGCTGTTTCTGATGGCTCTTTCCCGAAGGAGATGATTCCTGCTACTCGTGCTGGTAGTGAGGAGGACTTGGCTGGTTTGATTGTTTGGCTGGCTAGTAACTCGGGTGGTTATATCAATGGTAATATCTTGCTTACTGATGGTGGCCGGATTTCTGTTGTGCCTGCTGTCTACTGAGTTGTGTTTTGTTCGGACTAAGTGCAGTTTCAGTATAAATAGATGGGACAGATTGAGCTTCAATGAAAATAGACATTTTACACTGCTTGATTTCCAGATATGAGAGTTTAATCGCTCATAGATGAAAGGCAAAGGAACGTGAAACGAAACTGATACTTATAGGGCCAATCTCAAGGTCATGGTCCAAATACTGGAAAGAAAGGACATTTTGTTGGGTGTCTGAGGGATCAGACATACACGGTGACGGCACATGTTTACTATCTAGCTATATGTAGGTCTCTGTCTCTATCTCCTCTTCTCCAACCTGGCTCTTATCCATAGATGAACCAATATATATTGAAGGCATGGTTTTATATTGTAAAAGGCTCCCCTACATATTTTGCAAGGCCTGTCACTCGTCCGGCATTATTTTCTCATACTATCTTCGTTCACTGCATGTCATTTAACATGGAAATCGTTACTATTGTTTTTGCGGCCTTTCACCTCACACGCTTGTTGTGGGACCTGTTCAACATTGCCCTTGATTTCTATCCAGTGTGGCTGAAGAGCTTGGTTATCTCCTCAACAAGGCTGAGACGCTCAAGACAATAATCACTTGTACTGCGTATGCCTTTGAAAACATCTCGAGACACACCGACCCCTCGTCAAGGCAGGAAGTTGGCTACAAGGCTCTCTGTGAGGGACTCCAAAAAGCGCTTGTCGAATTCAAGCAAACGGCGAAGATAATCAACGATGATGTTCATCAATCGTGATTGTGTACATAGTTTCTGGCTTATGTGGAACGGGAAATTATTCCGGGTCTTGCAGAATCGGCTATCCTCTCATACATCCTCCATCGAAACTTTGTTACTTGCCTCGAATACATGAGGTTTCCATGCTTCAATATTGAATTTCTGAGCTAACCTTGTTACACTTAAACAAATATTCACCGCAAATTGGATCAAATACACTGGGGCCAATCTCGCCTACCTGATGAGGTTAGGGCACAGCAGAGTGATACGGCCATCTCCTTCGCCAACACGGACAAGCCATTTACCACCCTCGGCTTGGGAGTGACTTTTACCAAGGGCAGAATGACTACTTGGACGACTTGTCACAAATATTCAATCATTCCTCGGTCGAAGGCTCGGTACACCAGCCCCAAGTGGTCAGTATCTATGGCGAAAAAGGAGTAGGAAAGACGCGCTTATGGTCCAAATTTGCCGAGAGACACAGAGCCAAGTATGTCGTTTCCCCGCAGCTGTTACTTTATATTGATGATTCGCTAACTATTTACTTTCTAACGAACAAGTTATCATGCTGTCGTTTGGGCCCATATCGAGGATGATGTGATCACAGTTGATGAAGCCATATCTGAGGGTCTCGAATCACTTGAATGGCTGTCCACCATTCAAACGCCATGGCTCTTGATCATCGACAAGGATGAAAATTTGACGCATCCAGAGAGGCTTTACCCTAGCGGGGACAAATGACACATTGTTGTCACTGCCTCATCATCTTACTTACACTCGGCCGATTATATTCACATCTCAAATATGGGTACTGAGGATTCCCAATATCTCCTTCTATGGGCAACAGGGTTTGTGAAGCCTTGGTCTGTCTGAGATCGTGCGTGGGCAGGAGATGTGATCAGCCAACTCGGACGCGAAGTACTTCCCAGGACCTTGGCCCATCTTGATGCCACGATCCGCAATGGCTTTTCTAACTCACAGTCCTATCTGACGCTATTTAAAGGGCAAAAGGCAACTGGACCAGCAGCCAATCCCTCGAATCCCTCGAATAGTCCAGATCCAGCAGCATTGGCATTTGAAGTGGCTGTTGCACAAATTCACAAACAACTAACCCAGTCTTCCAAGGACGCATTCAAACTGCTGATGACTTTTCCCATTTCATCGCCAGATCCATCACCTTGGACAGACTAGTGAAGGCGATCCATCAACGCAACATTGTCAGAAGGGAGCAGCAACGGACTTATCGCGATAATGCTAAACGGTCCGACGTGTGGGCGGGATCTTGGAGACGGAGGAATACACGGGGTCGGAGATGGAGAGGAACCAAAGCCTCTGCACCAGGATCCAAGGAATAGAATGGTGAAGCCCCGAATACTCCTCAATCCATGTCTAATCTCCAGAGGCCGGAGTCTCCTTGGCCTTCACGAGCTCTCTGGGCACTGATGGAGCTCGCTGAAATAGGTCTGGTGATACACCACCCATCAAGCGAAACATACGCAATGTAACCCGTCGTGAAAAGGTGGATCACAGACAGGCTGCATAAATCTGAGCACGAACTTTGGCGGAACGTTGCCAACACGGCAGAGTCCAAGGAGGGCCAACCTGAGGATTCGGAGAAAATTCCTTCGACGGCCGTTTCTTGTTAGTCATAATTCCTTTGGTAAGATTTGTTTCATTGTGATCTGTTCTTTCCTTCGGTGTGAGTTCATTATATGGAATTGTCAGATTTCATCATCTTATCTTCTTACTTGGCCGAAAATCTAACCTCCTTTTTCACACTTCATCATGCACCAGAATGTCTCCCTATGTAGGACTCGTACTCTTCTTAAGGACCTTTTGAATTCATTGAAGGGTTGCATGGTCAGGGCAGTCGACAAAAAACGCTAAAACAGCCCAGACCTCTATATACTACTTTCCTTTTGACTATTCCTGGCGAATGGAAGATATTGAATGTGTAAAATCTAATCCATGTTTAATTTAGATGGAAGGCAAAGAAACACGAAACGACACTGAAGCTTATAGGGCCAATCTCAAGGCCATGGTCCAAATATTCAGTAAGTCGCTGTCAGTCGTTGGACCAGGTATTCGCCTGAAGTAATCGCCGAGTATTTCTTGGCCACTTGGATTTCCTCGCCAAACGTACCCGGCAGTGCTTCAATAAGTTTATCGTTATTTGGCTGGCAGAAATACGCCACGCTATACCGAGCAGGGTAGTCCGAAGCATCGTCCCCAGAGCCCTCAAGCGCGGGCGGCTGAATTACCCGATGACGGGTACTCTTGATGGTGTCATTGGACCATCGAGCGAGCAGGTCCCCGGCATTGACAACAATGGTATCAGCAATGGGAGTCGCATCCACAAAGGTTCCTTTGGGGCTGCGTACTTGAAGCCCACCGTGTCGACCCTGGAAAAGCAGAGTGACTGAACCGTAGTCGCTGTGCTCGCCGGCACGGACTTGGTTAGGGTTATTTTTGAAGACTTCTTTGCTGACGGGAGGATAGTGAAGCAGACGGAGGTTATTGTCGCCGGCATTGACAGAGTCGTCGAAGAAGTGCTCCGGCAAATTCATTCCCAATGCAATGGCCTGCATGATGTGTGCATGTAGGTTCTTTCCCATTTCAAAGAATGATTGCATGGTCTCTTTGAAATCCTTTCCTTCGTCGTCGAGATGGTCGGGCCAGCGATTGGGCAGGCCCTCGACTCCCTCACGACCGATTTCCATAGTTTCCTTGATGTCCGGTGCGGACGCGCGCAGAGTATCGACTCCAGTTGTCTCGTCGACGGTGGTTAACTTCTCCCGCCCGATAGCGACGTAACCACGGTTCGACTGTGGGGTTGTCCAACCCAGAGAATCCTTCTCACTCTGGGGGCGGGAGAAGAAACGGGCAGATGAGGCGAATACCTTGGACACCACGGATGGTGGAATTCCATGAGCCTTCAGGTAGAGGAAGCCGGATGTTTTGAAGGCTTCGGTTATGGAAAGAGCGACGGCATGTTTATCAGATGGGGTCCCTGTGAAGAACGGGCCGAAGTCGATCAGCTATAGCAGATTCCATTAGTCGTGGCTTGAAAAAACCGGAGACAGATTATACCGGTATCATCAAATCGTCCTTATCTACTGCAGCAGACGAAGGATTGTCCGAGGGCATGTTGGAGGCGATTGCGTATATGGCTCCTGGGAATTGGTATGAGCTCTGTTACCGTAGGGGGAAACTGAGACAAGGACAGAAGGGTGTAAAGCGAGTGCCTGTCCGAATGAGAAGGGAAGATCTAAAGAAGAGGGGAAAGTCGGGGGAAAGCAGATCACCTGCATAAGGTCAGCTGCATACATCCAAAAAGATAAGCACTTCTGGGCAGATAAGCCATAAGATAAGTGTTGACATCATGGATGGATGGATCTATTGAATGCTATTAGACAACAAAATCGGCATTTTGTTTGATTGCTACATTTAGACTTGAACTGACAGCGCGGATCAATCCACACCTCCCCCAACTCCACAGCGACCCCTGCATTGTCGACATCGTACCTACCTTGATCAATCCTCGAGCCACGATCTCCAAGCTGAAAATAGTGCTCGTCGCGCTCATATCACTCTAAAGAGCAAGGTAAAAGAAACTAAATACGCTGCTCACATATGGTGATGAATGGAGAGACGACTCCCCCAAGGAACAAGCGGTGCGATTTCACATCTTTCACCACAACAGTCGAACTAGGAAGCCATTTGGCATCTCTGTCCTCCAAGAGCTTCGAGACCTCCCAACCCTTCCCGCTACGAGTCCTCAGCTGATTGGCTATTCCATTGACCGCGAGGACAGTAGCAGGAGCAACAAGGTTGTATGGGTTCTCTATAGACTTCACAAACGCAATGGAATCCGGAATTGCGGCGGCCAGGAGGTTCCCATCTGCATCGAGAGACAGGTTATCGAGTGGTAATCCCGTGTAGATTTTGTCAAATTGAATCAGCTGGTCGCCGACTAATTTGTGGACAGTCACGAGTCCAGTCACTGAATGAGCCACATAGTAAAGCCCGTTCTCTTGGACGATCCCGTTGGCAAAGGAAAACCCCTTGCTGGCAGCGATGTGGCACCTCCCCGTGTCAGATCGACAATAGGTGAGGCTTCCGCCGCCAATCAGCAGCTCCAACTCCAGGAAAGTGCCAACCTTCGCGTCGTGGTCATTGGTAATCACGAACCCCAGACCATCATTGTCGACGGCCAAGTTGTTAGGCGAGATGATCGCGTCGCTAGCTATAGTTTTGACATATTCAAGTGTCTCTGAGGCCTCGTCCAAATCAAATATCTCAATCGTGGAGTTCGCTCCAACGGCCCGGGCATCAAGGAACTCCCCCGTTGTAGGATCGACTGGGGGTCTATGATTGGTCAACCATAATCGAAGTCTGCCGTCAATACGGCGCGCGTCGAGTGCAAGTAGATCCAGATCGCCGATGTAACCACTGACTTTGAGCTGGTGTAGGCCATACAGCCCGTCCAGGCCGGGTTGGTCAATATTCAACACTGCGATATGATCCGTGCGGGATCTCGCGGAGATGTTGTATTTGCTGCCACCTGGACACCATCCCTGTCTGGATTCTATAGAGTTGCATACTAAGTACAGCTTTCTCCCTTGATCGTCTAGCCACATATCCTCACATCCTTCTAAGAGAGGATGCTGGAGGCGAGTGCAGGTCCATGGGAATTCGTCGATTGATTGGATCTCTCGGCCGATTCCGATTGTGAGAAAAATGATGTTGTGCACGTAGGCTTTGTACAAAATGCCAATGGCGAGCACAATCAGAGCCCATATCCCAGCTCGTCGGCTGAGAATTCCAGTCGGCGACATTGTGAAGGTGGGATACATACTGATGTCTCTCATTGAGGAAATGGTGTTCCGGATACCCCACTTAGGTGGGGCTATATTTAATGCTGATGTGAGAGCTCCATTCCACCTGACTGAAGTAAGCTATTGACGTTCCAATAGGATGAGAGTGAGAATGCGATATGCTTTACATATGCTTTGAATATGCCTCCATACTACATAACTAGGTATGAACTCCATACTTCCCCGGGGCACGAAGGTTCCCGGGAGTGTCCGGCCTCGAATGTTCCAGGGTCCCACCTCGACCTATTAATAAGCCGATGCCCTGGCCCCAGAGGTTCCACCTGAAAGGAGTCACAGCTTGAAATAAATACATTGGATTTCCATTTCTCTTCCTTCATCAACTCTATTATATACACTATCTCCCCCTTTTCAACCCTCAAATCCCTTTCCCAATCGCCAACATGACCTTCACTGCCATTGTTATGTACCCCAACAATGCCGACATCCAGTTCGACGACTCCTATTACATCAAAACCCACATGCCACTCGTCGAAAGGAGCTGGAAGAAGTTCGGCCTGATCAGCTGGCGCGTTACCAAGTTTCCCAATGCGATGGATGGCTCGCGGTCTCAGTATCTGATCATGGCCACCCTTGAGTGGGAGAGCGAGGACTCCTTGAAGTCTGCTCTGCAGGACCCTGGCAGTGCGGAGGTGTTCGGCGACATCCCCAACTTCACCAACGCGCAGCCTGTCACTCTGGCTGGTTCCGAACTCCAAGTTTGATCGGTGGTCGAGTGTATGTGGGATCCCATGTCGATGAGTGTTTTGGTGCTGAAATTGATATACAGCGACTATTCAATTTATGTAACGAATGAACCTTGAAAATGAAATTGGATCATCAAGACCGAGTCTTAAAGGGCCTCGGCTGTATATCTCCTCTATTAACCGATAGCAACAATTGTAACATCATTGGGCATCCTGCAGGGCTGGAGAGGGGCATCCCCGCTCAGCAGCTCTTATCTACATATCATCCCCTCAATTGGGCAACCCTGTCTTACTATTCCTCTTTCTCTTTCCCCTCAAATTCTGTGTTACATCCCCCAAACATGCCTCGTCCTCTAGTAGTCGATGTCCATACCCATGTGTACCCTCCATCGTACATGGCGATGCTGCGCGCTCGCAAGACAGTCCCCTACATCCACGACCCAGCCAGCGGCGAACCGCGCCTAATAATCCTCTCGTCAGATGATGACCCATCCATTCCGATCGACGAGCGCGGCCGTCCGGTCGACACATCCTACTCTGACATCAGTGCCAAGCTAAGCTTCATGCAACAGCACGGCATTGACTGCAGCGTGATCTCTCTCGCAAATCCCTGGCTGGATTTCCTCGATCCCGTCGAAGCTCAGCGATGGGCTGAGCGGATCAACAACGATCTACATGAAACATGTGCGAAGAACAACAAGTCCACTGACCCGGACAACACTCTCCCTCTGCAGGGGAGATCGACTTTGTTCGCGTTTGCGACTTTGCCGCTGAGCGCACCCAGTGCAGATATTATCGTTAACGAAATCAAGAGACTTAAGACACTGCCTTATATCCGTGGCGTGATTATGGGGACCTCGGGGTTGGGAAATGGTCTCGATGATGAACAGCTCGGTCCTGTCTGGGCTGCTTTGGAGGAAACGCAGTTTCTGCTCTTTTTGCATCCTCATTACGGTCTCCCTCATGAGGCGTTTGGTGGTGCCGAGGTGACAAAGCGCTACGGTCATGTCCTCCCCCTGGCTCTGGGATTCCCGCTCGAGACGACCATTGCGGTTACTCGCATGCTGTTGTCCCGTGTCTTTGACAAGTTCCCGCGGCTGCAGATCTTGCTGGCGCATTCGGGTGGTACTTTACCGTTTTTGGCGGGGCGCATCGAAAGCTGTATTATGCATGAACGGAAGTTTGTGGAGAATGGTGGCGGTGTTCCTGGTCCACAGAGGAGTATTTGGGATGTTTTGAAGACAAATATCTTCCTTGATGCTGTCGTTTACGGGACTGCTGGGCTTAAGGCTGCTGTTGCTGCCGGGGGAGGTACTGATCGTCTTATGTTTGGTAAGCCTTCTAGTTCTATTGTCGGTATGACTGGGACTGCCACAAGCTAATATACCTCCCAGGTACGGACCATCCGTTCTTCCCACCTCTAAATGAGGGTGAGAAGGAATGGATCAGTGTCACAACGAACTATAAGGCTATTGATGCGACTTTCCAGGAGGAAAAAGAGGCTGTGGCTGCTGTTTTGGGCGGTAATGCTGCTCGTATTTTGAAACTCGAATAAGCACACATACTGTCCAGCGTAAATATCGTTATACTGATCGATAGACATGACCATATCAATAAGAACTGGGGTATAAGGCAATAAAGGGGAACAAACGTAAAACGAATATAGCATCGTGAGCACAAATTCCATGATCCGGGACTTTAGGCTGGAGCAAACACGGTCCTCAGCACATCCCAACCGACAAGCCGCCACAGCTCCTGCGTGAGCCAATCTGAAAATTTCTCCTGGTCCATCTCTTTATCATCAAGTGCCTGAGGAGTCGGGGTATGCGGACGCCGCAGACCCTCCCGGAACAGATGATCATCAGGTCCGAATACAGCCCGGAGGAGAGTCTTTTGCAGCCGATCTTTGGCATTTGCGACAAATTGACGAGTAGCCGATCCCTCGAGGGGCGATCGAACGGAATCAGCATTGAGCATTCTGTCCAGAAGCCGAACGAGATACTTGGCTTCCAGTTGTGCCTCGTTTGGCATAATGCCCTCGTCAGTCATTGCTTCAAGTCCATCTGGGAATGTCATCCCGGGACAGATTCCCATTGGCAGTCGCAGGTCATGGAAAACGTGGAGAGCTAGCATCTTGCCCATGCGATTAAGGACAAGGAAGAGGAGCCCTTCCATTACTTCTTGGTCTTCGATATGGGTTGGATTGAGGGAGAGTGCCATTGTGCAGAGCAGGTCTGCGAGACGAGAGGCTACCTCGTTCTCGGTAGCTGAGCTCTTCTCTTTTGTATGTTTGTTTTGTTCCTCGGATTGCGCGGCTGACCTTTGCTTGGATATCGCAGTACAATGCAGAGTGAGTACTGTCATGGTTGATTCGAACAGACCTACGAGGTAGTAGACGACTTGAGCTTGGTGGTGCGTAGCATTTTCGGCCCCAGCGATTTTGCGCAACGCTTTGTGCGTGAGATGGAACGCAACTCTCACACCATTCATGACAGCTTCTGTATCCGGCGTATTGGCCTTCTCGGTTTGAGATGGTTCCTGCTCCATCTTTTTGCTCTCATTCTGGATAGTTTGGATCAGTCTTTGCTCCGCAGATTTGCAAAGGATGACTGCATCCACAGCCAGAGGATTGGCCTCAGAACTGCTGGTTGCCTTTCTTTGCAGAGCTTTTTGGACGGTATGCAACTGCCTGTTGAGGCACAGGACTGTAATGACATTAGTTACCATCGTGGCCGCTCTATGAAGAACCAAGTACCATCTTCTTCTCCTGAATCATCATCATTCATCAATGGGATGCTTTTCTCCATGCTCTTTGGTAGCCTTATGCGTTTCCTAGCCACGTTCGAACTGTTCGCATTCTTTCCAACAGCAGGCGCTTTGCGTTTGTTTGCCGGCAAGGTCTCATTGTCATTTGCAGTGACTTTGACCCGCAGTTTGGCAAGAAGGCCTTCAATACGCTGGTTAAGCTCATGGACTTGATCTTGTAGCTTGCTCTGTGCCGCCTCAGACCGTTCATACGCTTGTTGCCAGAAGGAAACGCTGTCGAAGAACTTGTCCGTCACAACGACTTGGCCCAAATCTCTGCTCTTTTTAATAAACTGTCGAATCTGCAAAATGTATTCTAGAATGTATAGTCAATAATCGAATGGTCTGAGTCTATAGAAACTGCACGTTCGCCCAACCTTTCACGCTTTGGCCTGGTGGTTTTCGCTTGACAACAGCCAGAGCTAGGGCTAGTTGAAGCTTTGTTGGAGGTGTAACACCAGGTTTAGACGGTGAAATGGTCGTCATCTTGACAATGGACTCGAATGGGTCATGGCTTGGGATAAAAGTGCTACCATCTACCGGTAGAGGGCAGAAATTCTAGGATGTACACGTGCCCAGGCAGTATATATATCCACCTAATTTACCGCTTACTATCAACCGTTGCACATCCAGTTCCATTATATCGCCAGTTCAATTAGCGGGATACTTGGATCCCTGGCTTCCTCGTCATCTGCGCAAGATCTGTGACTGGCTCAACTTGACCGAACCGACCTGTCTCCGATGAATTGTGGGCCACGTACGAGCCGCGTGTTATTGAAGATGCTGCCCAGTTCGACGGAGCATCGATAGACCAGGCCTGGTCTCATTTTGAAGCCTGGGTGAAAGAGCGGGACATGGCCGATGCGTTTCTACTTACCGAATGTTCATCGTTGTCGATGAGGAGAGTTTTGAGTCCTTACAACATGCTCCACTTCCCGAGGAATGCTCGCAAGGGACGCAGTCTTGGGGTCACTATATGAAGCTTGTTGAGGCATGGTAAGAGCCAGATCCACCATTTATGGGTTGGATGAAGTGTTCCCTGACGGGGATTTGGAACATGTGGCGACATATGCAGGATGGGGATTATATGCGGAAGAGCTATATGATAGTTCGCGACTACAGTGGCATTTATTAAACTTCTTATTTGGATCTTCGACTTGAGGATTGCTATTACTCTGTCCAGGGCCATAAAAATGGATAGTCTTGGGTCTGGTACTCTAGTAGCGAGGTTCGACTTCTTCTTTAGACGCTCGCGGGTTATATCCTTACTTTTTATAGTAGAAGTATCGCCCTTCTCTCACAATTCTCTTATTCTGTAATAACCAGTAGATTTAGTACTACCTTTGTACTTTACACAGGGAGTATAGGATTAACAGGCCCATGTGTAGTCACATATCTCATTATATACCAGTTGGCGGCCTGAGGCGAAACAGACCCCACCGCCCAAGCTCCGAACTCCTACAAATTTCCATCTCAACGACCTCACTTTCAAGAGCTCGAATTTAGGGTTATTTTCCTCTCGAGGCCATTGCCGCGCTGTGTATTAAACTACACCCTAACCCAGACAGAGTCGAAAACGGCATCAAAACCTCCACTTCATCTCCGCAAACGTCTCACGCGACGTCCAGTCGCATAAACCACCAAGATGCCAAACGACGATCTCAAGGCGCATGCCGCCTCGAACCAAGATTTCTACGCTCTGCTAGACATTCAACCAGCAGCCACCGAAACTGAGATCCGCCGCGCATACCGACGCACCGCCCTAAAGTACCACCCGGACAAGATCCAAAACCCCACCGCAGCAGACATCGACAAATTCCATTTCCTCCAGATTGCCTACGATGTCCTCTCCGACACATCAGTGCGACAGCTCTACGACAATGCGCGGGAAGCGCGGCAACGCAAACAGCGCGAACGGGAGATGATGGGAGCGGCGAAACGAAAGATGCGCGAAGACCTAGAAGCGCGGGAGAGGGCAGGCGCAGCCGAAATGGGTGGCGCCGGTATCAAGCAGGGTGTCAAGAGATCATGGGCGGCGGACGGTGATGAGGATGCGGAAGAGAAGCTGCAGCGGGAGATTGACAGGATTGCGGAGGATGGACGACGGAGGCGACGCGAGGCTGAGGAAAAGGCCAAAAAGGAGCTTGAGGATGAACAGAGGAAGATACAGAAGCAGGAAGAGGAGGCTCTCAGGGCGGCGGATCGGAGTAGCCAGCGCGTGGACCGCTCGAAAGAGGGTGGTGGCGCGCAAGTCCCTGAGCTTGAGCGTGCGGTGAAAGTACGCTGGGTGCGGGAGGGTCGTGGGCTGGAGCTTGATATTCAGCGACTAGCGGTGCTGTTTAAGCCATTCGGGAAGATCGAGAATACCTTCGCGCTTAAAGATAAACGCCAACGGATCGGGGAAAACAAGGAGAAGAAGACTGTTGCGACGGGCGTGGTAGTTTTCACGTCTATTGTGAGCGCTCACGCTGCCGTTCTCGACAGCGAGAAGAAACTTCGTCAACATGCTGGTCAGGTTGGCGAATGGGGCCTTATCGAGTCGGTCTTCTGGGCCTCCGGCAGCCAACCTGATCTAGGTCCCGATATATCATCCAAGCCTGACCAGGCTGAGCCCGCACCTGCACCTCCAGGGCCCTCTATCGACACTTCCAGCAGGCCTACTAAACCATCATTCAACTTCCAGGGGTTGAAGACAGCACCCCCATCCTACAAAGCGCCCTCGTTTGGCTCATTCGCTTCTGCATCTGCTGCGGCAGCTTCCCCAAGTGCGACGTCATTCAATCCATCCAATAAGGCTCCAGTCGCGCCTAGTCTACAGGAAGTGATGATGATGCGGCTGAAAAACGCACAGCGTGAGAAGGAACGCAAAGCCCTTGAAGAAGAGCTGGTACGAGAAGACGAGGCCGCAGACGCAGCAGAAGCAGCGGCAGCAAAAGGTCCCTAGCTCTCGCGCTTAACAGAAGCTAGCTTCGTTTCGGCATTTGAAAGGCCCAGCCTAATTCTACCATTGTATTTAGATTCTAGAGATACCCCAGAGCACGTTGTATTTGCCATGTTGAGTTGAATAGAGATACAAGAGCTATTTACATCTTATCGTTTTGTGTTGTGTTATATTATATATGAGTAGTGATTGGCCACTTAGGCCTCTTAGTCTCGGTGCGCTTCGGCTTCGGCCTCCTCTTCCTCTAATTGTTCGACAAATTCCCGCGCCCGTTCACCCTCCGCATCAGGATTACGGCGAGCGGGTTTCTCCTCTTTGCCACCGGAGATGAAATCTCTAAGCCAAGGCGGAACGAAAGCACGGACTCCGACCTCATTAGGCTGTTCGACTTCCGGAGCCCAGGAAAGCTTGAAGTGGTGTTCATGTGGACGAGCAGGAGCCTCACCCATAAGGGCAACATCGGTCATAACCTCAAGACGGCACAATGCAAGTCCAATATTGCCAATGCCGTTAAGGAACGTCCCCGCACTGCGGTTTCGGCGAGCAGCGGCACCAGCCTTAACAATATCCGCTTCCCCAGAAGGTAAAGTCAATTGAAAAGACGGATCATATGTGAGGGTATCCGGGGAACTCTGCCCGTCCTGACCCAAATCGTAAAGCTGAACCGGCAGAAGACGCTTCCGCGTAACGCCACGGTGGTGGGTGCGAATCGTCAATTCCTGGCCGACGTAACAGCCCTTGCGGAAATCGATAGCACGAGCCATATCCATATTGCACTGCAAAGGCAAAGCTGATCCACTAATAACCTCCGCCTGACCTTCCGCAACACCGTGCAGGATGCGACGAACGGTGTACGAGTCCAGCGGGACCTCGGGCCCAGCGACCTGCGCCTCATCCGGGAAGAAGGTGCGCAGGCCGTCCGAGCCAGGCGTGATAATGCGGGATCCGAAGCCCGGAGCACGCGTGTCAATACACCCGGCAATCTCGGAGGTGGGTGAGAAGGGCGACGGCGATTCTGACTCCAGACTGTATGCAGCCCAGCGTTGTGGCTCGGTGTGGTTCTTCCAGGAGGACCAGATTGTGCGCTCGCCTTCCTCCAGAGCGCGAAGCTTGAGCTTCGCGCGCAGCTTGTGTTTCTTGAGATGTTTGAGCAGGACGGAGAGCTGGTCCTTGTCTAGCTCCACTAGCCAACCTGACTCCGCACCCTGGGCCTCGGCGCCGGGGAGCGGGTAAATGAAGGCATCGTTCAGAACTCGGCCTTGCGAATTGAGGAATGCAGTGTATGCGCCTGTGCGTCGAATGCTTCGGTTGGGGTCGTTTGCGACTAGCATATTCTGTGTTATTAGGCCCTGGAGGAAAGTTGTGCTGTCAAGGCCGGTGATGGAGATCAGCCCGCGGTTTGTGAGTCGGCTGTACCCTGCCGTCGGCGGGAAGGGCGCATTTTGGCTCTGTTCAGCACGCTGTGCTGTGGTAGAGAATAGCCTACCGCGGGCCAGGCAGCGGGTACAGACCGAGTAGCGCATCATGGTTGAGTTGGTGAAGCGGAGCCAATGTGATTTGATCTATTTCTTTACAAAGCGCCCGATGACGTTGGGCGGTGGATTGTGGCAGAAATACAAATTATAGGCCTAGGTACGGAGCACTGACATGAAGAAGCTACAATTATTGAGGTGTAAGAATAATTGGTTCCAATATTACACTATTGCTATGTATGTCACTATGTATGTCACATGTGCCTGGCTAAGGTCTACTGGAAAGCCACCCAGGCAACCTTAGAATCAGCCGACCACACAGCTACTTATTGCCCTTGGCCACTCCCTCCAAGAACCCGAGCAAGAACGCCTTGTTGCTCGGAGAGGAGACCTGTTGGCTACTGGCGTGTGCACCATCACCGGATGGCGTGCCGTGACGAGAAATAGAATCTCCGCTGCTCGGACGATTGCGGGACGACATAGGGCTGACAAAACCCGAGAATGCCGCCGGTTGCTGATTAACGGTGGCTCGCGAGTCGAACGGGGTCGCAAAAACGGGCGACGGAGAGACAGGTGCCTTGCTAAAGAGAGATAAAAGTGAAGCTTTCTGCTCAGCAGTTTGGCTCGGTCGACGGTCAAAGTTGCCCTGTGGGGCTAGGCCCTGGGTATCGATTTCACCACCTGGCAAATTCAATTTACGTTCAATAGCTTCTGCTTGAGGAGCTGTCGCCATCAATGCTTCATATCCCGGCTTTTCAGACCGACGCAGGATCTGCGGTTGGAAATTCTTGATAGGCTCAGGCGCCTCGGGCGACTTGGGAGGTAGAACCTGGGTTGCTTGTGCAACGGGTCTTGATGAGGATACCTCCCGTTTGGCGGAATGAGGTCGTGATAGAATGGTAATTGGCGAGGATAGCTGCTGGGCCTGGGGTTGTTCTCGCTTGATCACATGGTTCTTTCGGTACGCTGCACTGTTTGACTTATGCGGTTTGGCAAATGTCTCAAATTGTGGCATGTTCAACGGTCCAGAAACGGTAGCCGATGTCTGACTTGCTCCCGGAAGACTATTCGCTACACTAGCATGGGGCGCGAGTTGATTGTGGCGGTCGCGAGGACGCTGGAGAATCTGCTTCTCAGGAGGCGCCGCAGAGGGCACAACAGGATTGCCTAACAGTTCGGCTGGTTCAGAAACACGGGGAGTTTGGGGACCTTTGAGCAAACCCAAAAGACTATCCTGATGCTGAGACGTCTTACGCACGTGTGAAGAGCCCTGCCCGGGGGCCGCCAACGTCGCTGGACCCGGACCCTTCGGGGTCTTGACCTTGAAGACTTCCAAGAGTGCCAGGGAATGGCTTGTGAGCTTCGGCGGAGGCAATTTGCTCGCCGGCGGGACAACTGGCCCCCGGATTTGAGATAGCTGAGCGGATTCAGAGAACTCAGGGTCTCCTGTCCGTTGAAAGGGTGCGGGCATATGGGTCGGGTTCGGAACGCCAGGGGCCATAGGAGGCTGGTTATGGTGCTGATATTGAGACATACTGGTGGTTTGCGGGAATTGTGGTATCGCGTGAGGTTTAGGATACCAATTAGGCGCACTGGCCGGGAATGCATTGCCGGAAACAACCTGTGGGCCATCCGAGGAGTGCTGAATATGAGGTTGAGACGGGATGGTGTGAAACGGCGTCGAGTTTTGCCGCATGAAAGGAGACGGACCCATGTTCTGCTGCTGCTGAGGGAAGCCGGGGAAGAAATTCGGGCCCAGATGAGGCCGTTGTTCTGAAGATTGCACGTTGGACTGAGGTGCATTAGGTGGCGCCGTAGAATTACTGAGAGAATCCTGAGGCAATGTCTCTTGACGCCCACGCTGCAACAAGGCAAGAAGCTCACTCGCCTTAGACGGGTCAACGGCAGAAGCCCGAACTGGCTCCTGGTCTGGTGTATGAACTTGCACCGGTGCGCCGCCGATCTTCAAAAGGCGTTTGAGGTGATCTGAAGCATCTTGCGCTGAGGTTACCTCAGGGAGATCACTTGGAATAGCTATATCCGCGAGGGGAATCCCTGGAGTGCCATTGGTATGGCCATTTTCATCCATAGAAACATATCTCTCGGCCTGTGAGACTTGATCTGTACTAGGCGGGGCTCTCGCATCAAGCTTCTTCTGCTGCGCTATCCACTTTTTTAGTGGGCTGAGAAATGGGGCGACCATGTAGAACTTGTTCGCGTTTGCGACTGCGAGTCCTTCATCGTGCTGCTTATTTTTCTTTAGCGTTGGCAGCTCCGAAAGCTTGTACCACTCAATCTTGCTGATCTCCTTTCGCGTGCGCGGCTCAAAGTAAGTATCACGGAGCACACCTCGAAAGACATAGAGTCGCATATGCTGTTCTCTCATCGTAATCTCAATGTATTTGACATCGTCGTCGTTTTTAACCAAGTTGGCCTCCCGAACATCGAACCCAGTCTCTTCGTAGACCTCACGAATAGCACAATCAAGATCCCTCTCACCCTTGTTGATTTTACCACGGGGGAAACTCCAGTTAGCACCCTTCTTCCAGCCTTTGACTAGAACAACCTCGTCCATATCTTGGTTCAACATGATCGCACCACGGACCGGCACGCGTGTCTTGTAATCAAGGAATTCTTGGAAGGCAGCCAAATGGTGGTAATGAGACCATGACGACATAAGCGGACAATGTTGAAAAATGCGCATAGCAAATGTTTTCAGGTTCATTGACGGCAGCGCAGGGTCAAGTGGACGAATGAAGTCTTCGTAGAACCATTGTGCTTCTTCGACTTGGAAACATATCCGCTCAACCGATTCAAGCTCCTCCCGCGGGAGGTTGATAATGAAACGGACACACAAGTCATCCAGCCCTGTTAGCAACGGCCCACCGGCCTCGGTCAGCAGCCTGTCGTCATTCCGATCGATCAACAACCAGGCACTCACAATCTTCTAACCGCATATTTGTTTCGGTCATATCGGTAGGTAGGCTCTGGCATTTCAAAACCTTGGAGGCTGAGAAATAACTGCTCACTCAATCCGACAGCGCAAACGGTCGAAATAAGCAAGCAAAACAGTGGAGGGAACAGCTTCCAGGGAGGGTGGACCAACCCAGGGCTGTGTGGATATGGTGAATGGAATGGGGCAGAGACTAATCTCAGCAGGATGTGCAGTATGCGAAGGTAGTCAAGGTTCCAATCAAGTCAGAGAAAAGAGTTGAATGAGGCGTTGGGAAGCACAGCAATGATCGGAGCTGCCCAAGGTGGTGATCGGGTGACTAAGGTAAGGTGTGGCGGTGATGATCTAAAATAATGCGCCACATGTAAATGTGGCTGTGTTGAGGGTTCCCAAGATTCTCGGGGTTATGACGTCGGAAAACAGTCGATCTCCCTGGAATCCCTTTATTCTTTGCCAAAGGGATTGCTATATTAATCCCACTTGGTTTCAAAGTCAAGCACCTTCTTCAACCACTCTTATGCGCTCTTTGTCCTTGCCAAAATTAAGTGAAACGAGCGGCTACCGAAACTCCTGTCTATCCAACCAGGAAAGGTTTAGGGCCTGAAAGGATCAAAGGCTATACATAGTCTATTTTAGTTGCCCTTGCTCGACATTCGACTATTTCTTCGACACTTCTCCACGAAAGATTCCAACTTCCACAACTACTTTCACCTCCAGTGAAGTACTGCGATCTAAAACAAGGATGTCGAAAGTCTTGGTATCTCTGATTGGCAAAAAGGTGCTAGGTGAAACCGCCAAGAATCATTTTGGTACTGAGGTGAGTCCACTTGGACAACCGACATTCATTGGTCTTGCGGAGAGATCAGGCTAACCCAATCTTTCCTATCTACCTAGGACCCCTACTTCGAAGAAGTTCCTGCTTCACGCCTCGGTCGTACATTTGGAAAAAAGACCCAAAGGCGTCGCAAGGCCATCCCGCCGGGCCTCTCTGAGCATGATGCCAAGGTCCTGACCAAGGTCAAACGCAGAGCGTACCAGCTGGACTATGCTCTTTGCAACTTGTGCGGAATCCGCTTCGGGTGGGGAAGTGTGATTGGATTTATTCCATTGTGAGTTTCACCAGGATGTATTGCACTAGGTAGCACCGGGAGACAAATGCTGACACACGAACCACAGCATCGGCGATGTTGGCGATGCTGCGCTCGCAATGATGGTTGTGAAATCTTGCGAAGGGATCGATGGTGGACTTCCTCCTGCTTTGCGCGTGAAGATGTTGATCAATGTAATACTCGACTTCGTCGTTGGCCTCGTCCCTTTCGTTGGTGATCTTGCCGATGCAGTGTACAAAGCGAACACCCGAAACGCCGTCATTCTTGAAGGTCATCTGCGCGAAAAGGGTGCCAAGGCGGCCTCACAGCAGAGCAGGACACAGGAACCGATAGTCGAAGTCGACAACAGCCTTCCCGACGTATTTGATAGACAAGAAGATGGAGTTGTGCGCGAGCGTCCACCGGCCTATGACGACGTCCGACCATCGGGCCATGGGGGAAGGAATAATGCTGGCCCGCAACTTCCAACCAGGTCCCAGCCAGCCAAACAGTCCCGGAACCATTGGTCATTCGGCAGGTGGTTTGGCGGAGCGAATCGTCCAGAAGATGATTTGGAGCGAGGTGGAGCGAGGTAGCGCATGCTGCATGAAGATATTGAGATCGTAATTTCAGATACCCCATAATCGTTTGTCGATGGTTTCAGGTAATGCGAGATGTTCGCCTTCAGTGCATTTAATTTTGTCATGAATCAAGAATGTTTCTCTTCAGCAAAGCTCCTCAGGTCGAGACCGCATACATCCGTAGCAGAATTGAGAGCTGTGGTTATCCTCTGCTTGATTTGCAACAGTAACTCCGGAATTACCCTTCACATTTCCCAGTAGACTAGCACAAAGAGCACACGTTGGTGCACCATCAGAAGCGGAGGGGTTGAGCTTGTTTGCAGTTCTGGCCACATTCGCCATGACACCCGGATACTTTGCGCCTTGGTTCTGGACATATCGCAGCATCAACTCGTCAATAGAAAGGTTCTTGGTAAGAACATTTTCCGAGGGCGGTTGATCGGGTATGACAACATCGGCAAGGTCGGCACAGACACTCTCATATTGGAGCAACTCAGCCTTATACAGATCACGGAGCGGGTACTCGAACCTCACGCCCCAAGGGGACATGCCATCAGATACCTGCCAGGTGAGGGAAGCCCCACGTCCCTTGGCAACACCAGCAAGCGCTTTCGCAGCGAGACGGCTGTCCGAGTCACCCCAAATGATAGATTCACATCCAGACTTTTTGGCAAATTCAACGATCAGTCTGGTCAGCAAAACGGTGTCGACGTCGGTCCTTGAAGTCGGGGTCGAGATGGATGCACGGAAGGCAGCCAAGCGCTCCCCATTCGACCGAGCGCTGTCGTCGATAAACTTGGATCCTGCATATTCCTTCATGATATCTTGGATCTCCGGGACATGATCGAAGATGCTATGGAAGGGTATCCGAGTAATAGTGTGCATCGGGAAATTCTTCTGAAGAGCTTCGTAGTTTTGATCAAAGGGAATGCCTGTAGCCGCAATGGTTGAAGGTTCGATGACCAAGATCTTGAAGTCGTACCCTAGAGGGCGTCCATTGTCCAGGCGATGTTGTCGATCGGTATTTAATATATGCAACAAGACCGAGGAGGAAACACCAAGAGATACAGGGAGAAGCAACTGGGTTTTGGGGCCATCAAGGCCAAAAGCTCTGTAAACGCTCAAGCGCGACTGAACCTTGTGTGCTATAAAGCGCTTAAAGCACAAGCTAGAAAAAAAAGAAGTCAGAAACTATGAGCTGGAGGGGTTGTAGATTGTCGACTTGTCGCATACCTGCAAAGCTGCCTCTTGCGGACAGTGAGCTCGAATTCTGCATGCTTGCATTCCATGCATAGCTTGTTCCGTTCTTTTGCTGGCATGATGACTGCTGTAAAGTGGACTCTGCACTGGACATTGAAAACAAGTCGACCGAAGTTGGAAAAAAATAGTGGCGGTGCCCGCTTAGATAATGGCCACGCGCGGCTTCCCCGGTTTGGGGGCCGTCGGGTTAAACAAGAACACCTTAGCCTTACAACCTTTTACTAAACACACCTTACCATATTTGGCTCTCTATCTTGCTCATATTTTTGCTTTGATGCTGTGTGGTCTCAAAAACCTCATCCCGAATCCCGGAGCATAGTCTCGCTTCAACTCTACGGTCGCCATGAAGGGCTGGCTCCAGACCTTGGGCTTGACGGCCCTATTAGCAAGCTATGCGCTTGCTAATGATGCTGAACTGGTATGTCCCTACACTCACTTCAATTGGTAATTGTCAGGGGCTAACTTTGTTCTGCAGAAATCTGACGATGCGCACCGACAACGATGCTCAGGGATGTACAGTCGCAAAGCTTGGGGAGGAGATGTTGACCCCTTCATTCTGGTGAAATTTACGAAGTCGGAAGTCCAGGAAAGTGATCCTTTGGCTAGTTTGGTGATATTCGAATGGTCCGACGAGGGATTGATTGGCCAATACCGGGCCGATGATGCTGAGGTATGCCTGTCAACTCCGTGGGATCGACGTGGCTAATCATTGGGTTTAGGTCAAGGAAACAATTTGCGATGCCTCCAATGTTGAGGCAAATATCTGTACTCAAGAACAGCTCGGCTCTTTTGTTCTCACCAGCAATGCCACCGACGCCTCCAAAAGCCCTATCATCTCGAAAGCAATCCACCTAAACAACCCTGACGCCGTGAAATACCCCGTCAGGAAGACTGGATTCTACTGTGTGAGCACGTATGCATACTCCGGGCAGGACTACAAAGCAGTGGTTACCTTCCGAAACTCATACGGCGAGCTTCCCGCTGCACAAATTGCAAAGCTTCCATTTTATGGGGCCTTGACGATCGTGTATGCTGTTATTGGAGCGTATGTAACTTCGAGAATCGATGGACTCGATAGGTTTTCCGGTAGATGCTTACCCATAAATTTAGATTCTGGGCCTTCCTTTACGTGCAGAACCGTTATGACATTTGTATGTCGAGTTCCCTTCCGTTATCCGAGTCATACTAACACTGGATAGTGCCCGTCCAAAACTATATCACTGCAATTTTGGTATTCTTGATCGTCGAGCAGCTGATGACCTGGGGATTCTATGGTAAGAGACATCAATCAATTCCTTGTTTGACTCCATCTGATATTTCTAGAATACCAAAACCGCCATGGTCTAAATGCCGGCGCAAAGGCACTCATGGTCATTGTGGCAGTACTCAATGCGGGCAGAAATGCTTTCTCTTTCTTCCTCCTCCTAATTGTCTGCATGGGCTACGGCGTGGTCAAGCATTCATTGGGCCGAACCATGATCTATGTTCGCATCTTAGCCATTGGTCATTTCGTGTTCGCGGTCGTATACTCGGTCGCTAGTCTTTCGATCACCCCTGATAGCGCCGGTCCTCTGGTGCTTCTGATTGTCCTTCCCCTTGCCGGAACCTTGACAGCTTTCTACGTGTGGACGTTGAATTCCCTGAACGCGACCATGAAGGACCTTATCGACAGAAAGCAAAAGACCAAGGCGATGATGTACAAGAAGCTCTGGTGGTGTATTCTTGGCAGTATCATTGTGATCTTCGGTTTCTTCTTTATCAACTCGTTCGCTTTCGCTGGACGCAGTGAGGCCAGCTTTGTGCCCGAGCACTGGAAGGCGAGATGGTTCGTTCTCGATGGCTGGCTAAACCTAGTTTACCTGTTCGATATTGGATTTGTGGCTTATCTGTGGCGACCAACTGCGAACAACCGCCGCTTCGCCATGAGTGATGAGGTATGGAGCTGTTCCATAATTGACCAAGAGCAAAATCGAGGTACTAATATTTCTTACAGCTTGCTCAAGACGACGATGGATTCGAGATTCGATCATTCGGCAGTGGGTTGGATGAAGAAGATGCCTATGATGCTCCCCCGGATTATCCTGGCAGCTCAGCCGCTGAGGGCCGTCGTGATCTCTCCCCAGTTCCTCCCAAGCCCTTCTCCTCCTCGGCACCCCGCCAACGTGAGTCACTCGACGAAGAGACAATATTCGCAGTCGGTGAAGAGGATGGTGAGAGGTGGTCCGAGGATGAAGAGTCACCTCGTAATTCAAGCGAGAGGCAGAGACTCACCAGCAAAGACAAGGATTAGACTGAACATTGATTCGCCTTTTTTAATTGCGGTTGTTCCTGGCTAGTGTAAAAGCTGATCAGGACCAGACGTCTGGTAAATTGATGGGGTTGTCATTTCACTTAATGTACAACCTGCCTCTAGGGCAAGGATGCAAGCATGTCATGGCGTTGGTCTTTCCTTCACACTTATGTCGAATACTTAGTTCTCCTAGCTCACTTTTTGGTTATATTATTGGCTTATACGTATTTATTGGCTGCCTATGTACAACCATTCTGAAATGTGTCTCCCCAAGCCAATAAGATAGCGAAAGTTCGATATATCTGCATGGAAGTTACAAATCTAGCACTTCTTGGGGCTTGGCATCATAGTTTGGTGTAATTGCATTATTGCATACATGTAATGTGTATGTATCTGATTTCAGCGTGCAGGTCCTCGTAGCCACAGGTTATTTGTGGCTGGGAATTTATCCGAATCCGAATCCCAGACACCCACTTTCGTCCTTTACGACCTGAACAGAACCTTGGAACCCCATTCTTTGACTATCACTGCCTGGTATCATTCTCGTTTCTCTACTGCAAACCATCGCATAGCTATGGAATTTGATCATCTTGCTGAAAAGAAATATGAGCAGAAGGCTACTGCTTGGTTGGACCTTTCGTCCAGCCGGAGCCCGGAGATTCTATCTATGCAGCTTGCTAAAAAAGCATCGACCTGGTGAAAGTATCTGTGTTCTATGGACAAGTGGTGCTTTCAGTATATGCTATCCGGTCAGATATGATAATGGGCCAGATGTCATTGTTCGTTTCGCTGCCCTTGGAAGGGCTATTTTCCGCAGAGAGAAAATCCAAATTGAAGTTGCAACAATGAAGTACATACGCCAGACCACTTCGATAAATGTTTCTGAAGTGTTCGGCTCCGGTATCCGCTGGGCGGGCCCTTAGATTGTTATGCCAATTGTCGAAGGAGTATCATTGTCACAACTCCTCCAAGATCCTTCTTCGAAGGGAAGGCCAGTCCTGAACCCGCAAATAAGCGATCGGAGCTTGAAGCGGGCCTATCGAGAAATGGCCGCGCTTATCCTCGAGCTCTCCAAACATGAATTTGATTCATCGGTGCCCTTGAGGAAAATGAAAGGGGCTTCTTTGTCGTCAAGCGACCTCTCACCTTCAATATGAATGAGTTAATGGTGTCTGCAAATCTTCCCTCGCGCACCTTCAGGTCAGCCACGGACTACTTCCAAACGCTTGCTATGCAGCATCTCTCCCATCTACGACTACAGCAACGAGATGCTGTTAGCAGCGAGGATGACTGCCGGAGAAATTCACTGCTCGTTGTTTATTCTTGAATATTACAAAGAAACTCAACACCGAGTGTCCTCAAGGACCATTTCGACTATATTATGACGACCTTCGTCCGTCAAATGTCCTAATAGATCTCGATACTTTCCTTCTCTCCGGAGTTATAGACTGGGAGTTAATATACTGCACCTGCCGAGTTCACCTGGGTAGCTCCTTGGTGGCTCTTGTTTCAAAGCCCGGAGGACTGGGAGGGTGATCTCAACCTGTTTCTGACTCGCCATACTCCCAGGCTTCGTGCCTTTTTGGAAGTCTTAAGCGACCACGAAAGCAAACTGATAGAACAACAACTCCTCTCTGATTCACAGGCCTGTCTCCACGGATAGAAGACTCCATGAAGGCTGGGTTATTTTGGGTCTGCTTAGCAGCAAAATACAGCTCCATGTTCGATGAAATCTATGGGACATTCATCAACCATCAGTATTATGGAACCTTTACTTCTCTTGCTGACCGTATCCAGCTTTTGGACCAAGAACAACAGCAAGAAATGAATGAACTTATGAGGATCAAGACTAACCAGTGCACCAAGGATGAAGAGAGTTTCGACGACCACTATCCAATTGATATCCTACTTGAATTATGATTGTGTATCTATCTAGCATTGTGTTGGCTTCGGTGCAATAAATGGTGACGCCTGTAACTAATTCATTCTACTTGGGACACTGACTGGGAATGCCTTCCCACACAATCAACTCTCAACAGTTTAGAGTCTTTGGTGTAGCAGCATGTCAAATAGGGTTACCAATAATATGATCTATTCGGTCTAGAATGATATTCCAGATGCCATATTAAGAACGTTGTGGCTTTTGTATGTCTTTTCAGGCGGCTTCCCAATGTTCTGAGTGTTACAACTAGAACATTCGGACGATTTTTGAGTCATCCAGAGCCGCCTCATGTGGAGCCCCAGTCTCTCTCCCTTATAATTAGATATAAATTGATTCATTCCAATATTGAAGTTAATATTTCCATACTGAAAAGGACCTTTGGATGTTTTGCCTCTATACTACCAACCGATAAAAGCAACCTTATCGCACTTGCCCCGCAAACACTCAAAACAACAGCTCCAACTCTCAAAGAAGACAGACAAGAACTCCAGCGCACATCTCGCCTACGTATGCGAGGCAGTACCACCATCTCCAAACATCACATGCACGCAGCCGGTGCGTAAGCATACACAATGGCACCACATACACATCCCCACGTGCCCGCAGTCCCCTCCTCCACTTCCGACAAAGAAAGCGACAATGACAACGCAAGCACAAACACTGCAAAGCCAGAGCCCAAACCAGCAGAACCCAGCTCCAGGATTAGCATGGCCCTCTCAGCGCAGCTGAACCAAGAATGTAACGATCTACTCTCCCAGATCGACGCCTACCAATCCCTCCTCGCGTCTGCGCTACGGAACCCACAGCTCGTCGAGGTGCGCCAATTCCGCTCCAGCGTAGTCTCCGAGCTGAAGATGTTGGAGAAGTTAGGACGGCAGATTGAGGAGGCGATTGGAGGGACACCAGGGCCAGAAACAAGTCGGATGGAAGATGGTGTGACGGTGTCGCGTGACCCTGATTTGGAAATGCGGCTGGTGCATGCGCTTCGCTCGTCGAATTTGCCGTTTTACCAGGCTGTCTGGAGAATCGCGAGAGGGTCTTGTTCTGGGTTGGTTGCGTTGGGTAAGAGATTTTACTGGGATGGGGAGACGAAGGCGACGGAGAGGAAGAGTGCCAGTGGGAAGGGGAAAGCTGGTGCTGCGCAGCCAGAGAAAAAGCCTAGCAAAGATAAGCGCAAGAGTGTGTTTGTGGATATTGTGGCTGATGATGGGGAGGAGTGGGTGAAGGTGTCTACTATCTCGGAGAGTCGGCTTTTGTTCGAGATGGCGAAGAAGGGCTGGGAGGGTGATAGTGATGAGGATGGGTGGTCTGATGGGGGTAAAGGGCGAACTGTTTTGCAGAACTTTGATGAAGATGGGGATGAAGATGAAGATGATGAGTTGGAGCTCATTAAGCTGGCCCGGGATCTAAGGAAGGCGTCTGATGCTACGCGCGTTAGATATAGACATCCTCGGCTACGGGTTGTTATACCTAAGATTGAAGAGGGAAGTGTTCCTGAAATTGACGCTGTCTTGAACGAGATGCGGAGCTATGGTATTCGGATTGACTGCCAGGGGAGCCTGCCAGAAGAGACTCGCACCGGGCTAGCCCATCTCCTGCCTCAACCATTCAAAAACTTTACCTCGACTCTGAATGTCGACTGCACTTTACTTCTTGCCTTGGTGTCTGACTTGTCTCACATCAAGGACATCCCGCTATCCCCCCATTTCCACCGAGCCATCGTCCGACAAATCGAAGTTGAGCGGGAAAAACCACTGCTCACTTCCGAGCTCTGGCCGGCTATGGATGGTCGGGAGCTCCTATGCACCACAGAGGCTGCAGTGCGCTTCCAGGAGATTGTCGAAACCATTGGGACAGAGACGGAGAAGAGCCGAACCCGCATGTTGCTGGGGGATCCACCATACGAACAACTTGATCGTGCTGCTATTCTCCACAAGTTTCAAGAATTGTCTGATTATCAGGTGCCCGCAGATTGGAAACTCCCCATCAAAGTTGTTGAAGCCGAGCAAGTGATCGATGCGGCCAAGACGCAGGGTGACCTTCATCCAGTGGTACATGAAGTCGGGAAAGGCCTATCGGATATCAACCATAGCGTGTTTTTGTATGGTTGGGTAACCGGTTTGACGACCATTTCCAGCAATCGCACAATCGACAAGCAAATCGAAGCCACCGTCGAGGACAACCGGAAAGGCGATGATAGCCTAGAAGGCCCTGACGTTTGGATATGTGAGACAGCACGAAGTTTGGTGGGCAAGGACAAAGATCGAAGAGCATAAGCATAGAGGTTCGGTCATCTGCTAGACGGGATGGAATAGAGCGCTTTTCTTGACCTTGAAAATTTGCAAACACGGTGCCATTGTTCCGCAGGGCACTCACTCACACAGTGTATTTTGTAGACAGTGATTGGCTGAGAGTCTGAGAGAAAGTCGGAGATCTGGTCCTTTCCATCGCGCCATCAGATTTTATTTACTTCTCCGAAGACTTGCCGTGGTCGTCTGGAACATAGAAGATAATTTCCTTGTCAGCACTGGCGATCATATTGTAACGCGGGTTGTATTCCACCATGGCCGCGCAGCTTGGAGCAGACAACCTGGTCGAGGGCTGTAGTGTGAGGTCCCCCGCGCCGATCTGTCCCAAGTCCCACACGAGCATACCGTGCTGATCACCATTGCCTCCAATGACATATCTACCATCGGGAGAGAAACAAGCGTCGCCTTGTCCAAGGGGCTTGCCAGTCGTGGACACTGGTGCAGCACGACCAGATGCTCCACTTTTGCCGGCCAGGAAAGCCTTGAGGGTACCATCAAAGGCATCGAGAACGAAGTGGCCATGGTAGTCTGTTCCAACCATCAAATATTTTCCATCGTTGGAGAACTCCAATCGAGTCCATGCTCGTCCCCGCGTCGAAGGTGTGAATCTCTCCTCGTATGGCGCGAGGTCGAAGGTGGAGAAGGGCGACTTGTCAAAGTTGCGGAAGTCATAAAGAAGCACTGCAGCTGTAGATTGAGACGCAATTGCAATTACTGTACCCGAAGGATCAAAGGCAGCAAGATATGGTGTCGAAAGGTTCAGTTTGCCCTGCGCATTCCTTGAATTCAGGTCCCACAATGTCACAGTATCATCCTTGGAGCAGGACATGAAGGCGTCGCTTGCGGGGGATTGAGCTAGGCAAGTTACTTGGTCATTATTGCCGGTGAAATATCGTATGTATCCCTCATTGTGAAGGTCTAACAACCGCAGATTATCTGTAAGTGGTGAGCTAGGTAGCTAAAGCCAAGGACGTTCAGTCACATACTATCGATCTTGGTACTAGCATGGAGAACCTGGCGAGAGTGATGGGTGAATCTCGCAAGATGAACACCGTATTTCTTGCTGGCAACAGATTTGTTGAATTTGCCTTCTTTCACGTCATAAACATGCATACTGTCATCGTTGCCGGCGCCAATTAGAACGTCGCCCTGGTCGTCAAAGTCCAAAGAGGTCACATATTTGGACGGGTCTTTTTTACAAGGGTGGAAACCCTACAGAATAGCCTTGTCAGAAGTGCCATAACTTCAATCCTCACGTGGACCTACCTTGGATGGGCGGAAGGTGTCAATAATATCCGTGATTTTCTGCGACTTGAGGGGAGCTTGGGCGGCGGGCGGACCCTGCTGAGGTGTTGATTGACCTTCGGTCATGGCGGTGTGATCAGCGAAAGTGAGAGGTTACTGAGAATATATGTAATATAGGCAGAAATAGCAAAACATAAACAACAACAAAAGTGAAGACAATGTGAGAACAAGGAAAGAGCTGCCCACATAGCACTTGCAAGCTCCGAGGTGAAGCTCCGCGACTGGGCTTTTTTTGCGCGCCTCACCGCCTCGGCTGACATAAAAACTCCGGGGCCGACGCCGGAGGGCCCTGGCTCAATTGACCAATGGGCGTTCCACCGACTCCCTGTTCGCCGCATGTAAGCTTTTATGTCCACGGTTATCTTAGGGCGCATATTGACTCAACTCATTCAATCTCTGGGCCCTAGGTGAAAATATTGCGCATTCATTCATATTTCTCACCTATACTTCCCGATCGTGACTTGGCTGCATAGCCTCAATAAATTGCACATATCCTGTGGAATCTCCGCTACTGGCCGCATTCATTTCATCCTGCGGGTCCGATCTTCCTCCGCTAACCGACACACCTGAACAAGCATCATACTGTCAAAAGATCACATATAAGGCATTATGTCTACTACTGGAGGGTATGTAATATCTATGTGCTGGTGTACAAAGCCTACGCTAACAGCAATTGTGATTGAACAGCGCGTTCATTGCAGGTGGCATTGCAGCATGCGGTGCAGTCACTGTCACCCATAGTTTCGAGACGGTCAAGATCCGGTTGGTTTCCTGATACTCGGGGTTCGCCGCCATGATGCTGACAGTTATGACCGGCTACAAGGCTTCAACTGCAGGGTGAATTGCAGACCAAAAACCAGGCAGTGAAGATGTACAAGGGCCCGTTGCACGGCATCAAAGTCATTCTGCAGAATGAAGGACCTCGGGGTCTGTTCCGGGGTATTGGATCTGCTGTATGTGATGTCCTCTAGAAATTGCATATAAAGGCACTCCAAGCTAACATCCGGGTCATGTAGTATATCTACCAGATCTTGCTCAACGGCTGCCGTCTGGGCTTCTACGAACCTATCCGCTCGAACCTCACAACTGCTGTGTACAATGACCCCAAGGTCCAATCCCTCGCTGCCAACGTCTTTGCGGGAGCTGCTTCAGGTGTTATTGGTGCCGCAGCGGGGTCGCCTTTCTTCCTTGTGAAGACCCGTCTTCAGTCCTACTCACCGCTTCTCCCCGTCGGCACCCAGCACAACTATAAGAACTCTTTTGATGGCCTTAGCAAGATCTACAAGAGCGAGGGTATCAAGGGTATCTACCGTGGTGTCGGTGCTGCTATGATCCGCACCAGTTTCGGCAGTGCCGTGCAGCTCCCCACATACTTCTTTGCCAAGCGCCGTCTGACCCGCCACCTGGGTATGGAGGAGGGTCCTGCTTTACATCTGGCCAGTAGCGCAGCTTCTGGCTTTGTTGTGTGCTGCTTCATGCACCCCCCTGGTATGTCATCTCGATTACGTGCTATATGTTCTTCGCTGACTTCTCTCTAGACACGATCATGGCTCGTATGTACAACCAGACGGGTAACCTGTACGGTGGTGTATTTGATTGCTTGCTCAAGACTATCCGCACTGAGGGCCCCCTTGCCATTTACAAGGGCTTTTTCGCCCATCTCGCCCGCATCCTTCCCCACACCGTAAGTGACAGGAGTTGAGCCTTGCTTTGGCATTGATGAACTAACCACGCCTCTAGATCTTGACTCTGAGTCTGGCCGAGCAGACTAACAAGCTGATGCGCCGTGTTGAGGACCGGATCCTGCCCGACTCCTTCCGTGAAGGAATCTAAGCAACCTATGGGCTATATTTTGAAGGGATCTTTCTTGTGAGATCCATTACCAGTGTCTGCATTGCCTGGCCGGGGTTTCTTTTCGAATGTTCTGTGCCGCACAATTACTTCTAATTGGGCATATATATGGCGTTTGGTAGAGTAACCTGTTCATTTCTGGATTCAAGGGTCTGTACATATCGTTGTTCACATATTGCAAGCCTTGGAAATATTTTGGGTATGTCCGTTGGCATTATTTGATTCCCTTCACAGTCGGTTTCCCCGGCACAAATCGCGAAACACGAGAACGCGCTAGCACGTGGTGATACAAGGCACTTCCCTGCTGTTCCCAGTAGTCCACTAGACGAGAGGTATGTGGAGGAACCTAGCAGGTGGATATATCTTGATGGGTACTTGCAAGGGATTACTCGCCACATTGCATTCAACCCTTGGAAACAGTGTCAATAAATCGTATAATATAGACCATGGTCCTTGTACTCCGCAGATATATCGGAATGCAACTTGAATACGTAAAATGGTTAAACAAAGACCCCCAACGTTAAAATACTGCATGGCTGCCTAGGCGTGACGCAGCTAAGTTGATCGGCATTTTCTTTTCTCTTGCGGGTCCACTCCCAGAAATTTCCCTATGGAGTAAAAGGCAAAGAGATCCTTCATTCATAGGACTTGACAGGAGCTGCCACATGTCACTGGTCTTGTTTGAAATGCTATAGACTATGTACTATATATAATTTCGAGATTAACGGATGAGAGCAACTTTTGGAGCACGTCAACAGGTACAGTAAATGGAACGCGGGTGGGGAGCTAAGCACACAATGGAAAATGAGCTACAAATTAGCGAATGAGATGCTAACGCCTAGATCTAGACCAATAACAAAACCAATTACATCCGTAAATCCGGATTTGTTTTCCCAGTCGCGTCGCGCGTTTTTGTGGATTCTCCAGCTTATCTGATCGTGATCAATAGTGGGGACCGAAAATTGGAGACGCGTGGAAGTTGTTGATGTCTTAGGTTGTAGGTTTATGGAGGCAGTGGCGTGGTAATTGGCATTTACTGTTGGATATAGCATATTCACTATTATCAGAATCAAGCGTCTTAGGATGCTTTCGAGACTGAGATGTATACAGATGTAGATAAGATCAGAATCTACAAAATCTACTCCGTACTCCGTAAAAAGTACCGAGTACAGAATCCATGACATGCACAAGAATGGAGCTGGAATGGAGCACGGCCAAGGACTATCCTTTCGGATGTTGCTGGGATCCAAGTGGCATGAGAAAAGAGTCGCCCAATTAGGAAAGAAGGGCTGGGGAAAAACCTTGGAAGACGCGCCGGACGTTACCTAATCAGTGCGCGCGGTCACGTGCGACGTGACTTAGCACGTCGCGCTAAAGAGAAATCGGCAGTACTTAATCGAGTTTCTCTTCCCTCGTCCTACTCCAAATTTCCCATCCCACTCTCAAAGCTTCTGCCTCATTATTACCTGCTGTCTTTTGTTCAAGAATTGTTTCTGTGATATAATATCCCTCACATACTTGTTCCAATGGCCGCTCAAGTCACTCCCTCCAAGCAGGTACGTGATGTCACGCTTCTTGCCTCTTGCCCTCTTCGCGTCAAGACGCGTCGTGAAGTTCGATTGAGCTAACATTTGCTCTTTCTTAGGCTGCCTCCTCGCTCGAGAACCTCAAGATGAGCGATTCACCTGTTAAGAAGCTCGACTTCCAGTCGGTTGGCAAGGAGAACGCGTCTCTCAAGCCCGTCGACACCCCCATTGAGAAGCCCACCGAGAAGGCTGCGGACAAGCCTCTTACCATTAAAGAACTTGAAGCCACAGAGCCCCTCCTCCAGGAGAACCCCCACCGTTTTGTCATGTTCCCTATCAAGTACCACGAAGTAAGTCACGTCGACGACGCGTTTCACGCGTAAAGTGGATATCGTGAAGGATGTCCTGCCACTATGACCATTGAAGCTAATCATACCTCCCATTTCAACAGATCTGGCAAATGTACAAGAAGGCCGAGGCCTCTTTCTGGACTGCTGAGGAGATTGATCTCTCTAAAGATCTTCACGACTGGCACAACCGCCTGAACGATGATGAGCGTTACTTCATCTCCCACGTCCTGGCTTTCTTCGCAGCCTCCGACGGTATCGTCAACGAGAACCTTGTTGAGCGTTTCAGTGGAGAGGTCCAGATTCCCGAGGCCCGTTGCTTCTACGGCTTCCAGATCATGATGGAGAACATCCACTCCGAGACCTACTCCCTGCTCATCGACACCTATATCAAGGAGCCCAAGCAGCGTACCTACCTCTTTGATGCCATTGACACTAGTAAGTGCTTCTCCCATTGATCTGTGTGGTTCTATTGTCTAACCTGAAATTTAGTTCCCTGCATTACCAAGAAGGCCAACTGGGCCATCCGCTGGATCAACGACCGTGAGTCAACATTCGCTTCGCGTCTGGTTGCCTTCGCCGCAGTCGAGGGTATCTTCTTCTCTGGCTCATTCGCCTCCATCTTCTGGCTGAAGAAGCGTGGCCTGATGCCTGGTCTCACTTTCTCCAACGAGCTGATCTCTCGCGACGAGGGTCTCCACACTGACTTCGCTTGTCTGCTGTTCTCCCACATGAACCACCGCCCCGACCCCAAGATTGTTGAGGAAATCATTGTCGAGGCCGTTGGAATTGAGCAGGAGTTCCTGACTGATGCTCTTCCTTGTGGCCTGCTTGGCATGAACTCCAAGCTGATGTGCGAGTACATTGAGTTCGTCGCTGACCGCCTGCTGGTGGCCCTCGGCAACAAGAAGTACTACAACGCTGTCAATCCTTTCGACTTCATGGAGTCCATCTCTCTCGCTGGCAAGACCAACTTCTTCGAGAAGCGTGTCGGTGACTACCAAAAGGCTGGTGTCATGGCCAGCACCAAGCAGGAGGTCAACGCTGAGGGTGAGAAGGTCGAAAGCGGCGGTCTCAACTTCGATGAGGACTTCTAGACGACGTCCTTCTCTCTTCCCTCTTGTGTTGTTTTATACCCTCCCCCCTTTCACGTGATATTATGCTTTTCTTATTCTGTTTTTTATTGATTGACGCAATTTCCGTTTGAAGGCTCGCATGGGAATGGCGTTTTTTTCTTTTTATTTCCCTGGTCTACTGGACTCTGGTGTCCATGGATTAATGGCGGATTCTCTGTATCTAGATCCTCGAATCACTTCTCCAATGTGTCTGCATATTTTTGTAGATGTAGATAACGCCAATGATCCTTTTAAAAACACGTTATCAATTGACCAGTCTCATCCCATCCCTACTTCGGACTCTTGAAACTCCATTTAATCCACAACAACATCCGTCGATGGCATACCCAGCCCGAACTCAAAAGCCGGTATCTCATTCCCGATATCAAACGACCTCAATCCCACGTCTATGAATGCATCATAAAAGTAATAAGCAAACCAAGCATCAAAAACAAATCAATCTCATCCAAAAGAACCCAGTTAGTTTACCGCTTCCCCTTCCCACCCTTCTTCTTCCCCTTCGCACTCTGTCCCTGTCCCTGACCCTGACCCTGACCCTGACCCTGACCCTGCGCCTTACCAGAAACCGGCGTCGCAACCTCCTCAGCAGGAGCATCAACCATCTCTACATCCGCTCCGGCAGCGGGTACCGCAGCCGATAACCCCAAACCCGCTACATCAGCACCAGCAGCCAGCTTTCCCAGACTCGTAATCAGGCGGCCAACTTCCTGCGCCTTGTTTGTGCGGTAATGCAGACAAATCCCGGTGGTTGGGTTGAATGTTTTCAGAGTGAGGGTTGCGGTTGCGGTGGATGGGTGTGCGGGTGTGGTGGAAGGAGCATCGGTGGGTTTGGCGGCATCTTTTCGCACTTGCGATTTGTAGGCTCGCTTTAGGTTTCCTCGTCGGTTTGTGGGGAAGTTGTATTTTGTTACTATCCGGGTCTGGGGGGATTGGTTGTTAGTTTGGTGGATTTGATTTGGAATTAGGATTGGGGTTTGCGGTTGTTCATTGTTGCCCGCTGTGGGGGACGCGGTGTGGATGATTGCACGGCGGGTTGGAATGGAAGGTTCAGTTAGAGGCTTACTGTGTCTGGGTACGCTTGTAATAACTGCGCTGACTGTTCCAGGTAGGCCTGGGAGGTGGCTAGGTAGGGCATTTTGGAGTGGTGGTGAGCGTCTGTAGAGCTCTCGGGTTTGGGTTGAGAGGTGTGGTGGGTGTCTCTCTTGGTGTCGTGGGAATGCCCAGAATGAAATGTCGCGGATCAAAAGGAAATATCCGCTGGGATTCAAGGCTCGAGAGAGGAATTGCTTGGGAGAGTCGATGGATGAAGAGTGAGTGTGGAGGTGTTATCAGTGTGCTGGCGGCTTTTTCCATGTCTTGGCATCAATATGGTTCACTCGTTCACTCCGCAATTTATACTTGTACCCTTTGAGATGGCCTTCACTACATATGTAGTTGAAATAATTCTTAATTAGAGTGATTTCCCTTATGCTAAGCTTATTACTTGGGGCCTAACTTAATTACGATTATTGGCCCTAAACAAGAGTGAATCAAGCCTCTACCAACCATATCTACTTCATTGGCTCAATTTGAGCATATCACAAAAAAAAATGATGATCGAAAATTCCTTACAAGCGATGCAGTGCATACGTGATAGATATCTTACGTACATACACAATGTACGCTCCAAGGATAGAAGCTCATCCATCATAAGGTCTGTAAGGTCCGCGACCATTTCGAGTATCATGACTCATAGCTCGACTAGATCATTCCAGGTTAATACGTTAAGAATTAGGGAGTGTAACAACCTGCGCTACTTCTAGCTTCTCCATCAAAATTTCGTCTTATTCCATCAACTGTCGCTGTATTGCTTATCAATGACAACACGGTCAACAAAACGCCATGGATTCTGTCAGCAAACACCAATATCCTCAAATCCCCGGCTCTGCCCAACTAGGAAACTTCGCAAAACTACCCCTTAAACTTCGCCTTTCGATATGGGAGTACCTCTTCGACGACATACAGTTCCCCATGTCTTATCCATTCTACGGTGCAGCCGCTACCTCTACCAAGAGAGATCAGACCACCTTTACAGCGGAATGAGACATGAGATTCGAATTTCAGTTACTGACAACAGCCTCAAGTGGCTATACGTCCGTTTGCTCTCTAACAGAACGTCCGCCAAATGGTGGGGACTGAACAACATCAAAGCTGTCCGAAGACACCTTCACAAACTTCCCTCATAAAAGACTTGAAGGGAAAGAGATCTTCGCCAACATTACACCGTCCTCTTGCCAAGATTCCGATCAAATCATGCAACTAGAACAGAAAGCTGACCGACTAGCCGATATATTAAAGGCTGCATCTGTTACTCCAACAGTGTGGGTTAGCCTACTGGAAGAAAAGCCGAAGAGTATCAGCTACGCTAACGAGATACCCCCAATGACAAGTTCGTGACTCTACCTTTTATACGCCTTTCTAACTGTCACTGTCGGGTACCACTGGGTCTTTCTGCTCTGATGACAAAAAAGCAAGCCGCCAATCAGTCTCTTCTGCACAAACCTATAGAGGACGATGGATTAAACGACCGGATTGTGTGACTAAACAAGTTAGGAGTTGTTGGAGAATTCATGCTTGACGAGTATATCCAAGGTATTAGTTGAAATGACTTGTCAATGCCAGCGAGATGTATAAATTCTCGAGCTTTGTTTACTAAATTCACTCTACTTGGGTATATTATTGTTGATAGTAATATTACGACTATGGGGTATGATGGGTTCTTTCACGGGATCGCGTGAACTGGTATACTTGCTCAAGTACTCCATAGAGCAGTCTCAGAAGCACAAATCATAGACATCATATTATCATATATCAGTATCTACATATATACGAAAGCGAATTGTTGATTGTCGACATTATCATTTCCGGTTGGGCAAGTTGGCGGCAAACGGCGCTCCAATGCCCCGATGTAGCTAGGGCTTATATGTCAGCTTACCCAGGAAATCCCTAGGATGCGGGAAGTCACAGGAAGAATGGAGAACACTCTAGGAGATACAAGAAACCCTTAGAAACCACAAGAATCTTCTCGATAAGGCGATGCTGTGTATATAACCACCCAGGCACCTCCGTTCCGCACCTCCGTTCCTAGTGGCAGAAGCCTTCTTTATCAGACTTCCAACTAGCATCATCCATTTCTCATAACCACACTCACAAAGATTCACATTCACATTCACCACCAGCACCATGGTATACCGCGTAATGATCTTCGCACCACGCAAGGCCACCATCACACACGAGGAATTCAAGACCCGCTACGAGCAGCACATGCGCATGGTAGTAACGGATATCTGCGGCGATGCAGCACCGCTCTCGCACACGCGGTCATATCTGCAGCATGACGCAAGATCCAATCCGATGCTGCTGGCGGGAAGTGTTGACGAGACATACGATGCCGTTGTGACCATGTCATTCGAGGATGAGGCTGCGTGGGGCAGGTTCTGTCGTTCGTTGGATACGCCGGAGGCTAAGACGATGATTGAGGCTGACGAGGCGGGGTTTTGGGATCGGGAGAGGATGAAGGTTATGGTTGCTGAGGATGTAAGGGAGTTGGAGTAGAGTGTCTTTTTGCTCTGGTCTTAGGGAGAGGGGAGAGAGGGGTTGAGTCATCTTCTTTGGGTGAGCTAGAGGACCGATGAATACCTAACTGTTCTTCGGGATCGAGACGTCTATATCACTCTGTTTGGAAGGTTGGCTCGCAGTCTGGTAGAATGCGAGTGAAGAAAGTAGAGCCGGGAAGGAACATCCCACAATGTGCCTAGTCTCTTGAAGGATAGTTCCGTGTCTCATCTCTCATTGCATCTGGTACTATACAAGCCCTGTTAATAAAATACATTAAACAAAACATATTGACATCATAACAACATAACAACATAACAACATGGCAACATAACAACATAGCAACATAAAACAAAAAGAACCAACCCACCCTCCAATATATATCCAAAATGCCGAAGCAAAACGCCAAACCCTATCATACATCCCAGAAATCATAGATCGTAGATCGTAGACCATATATGGATCCACGTCCATAAATGAAAGGAAGACTCAAGAAACAGGCCGATGACACTCCGAACAAATAAGCTTCTGTTTCCCATCCCTTCCCTTGACACTGCGGAAACTTGTCCCACGACAATTATCACACTTGAGCACATCTTCCTCTGCATCACCCGCGGAGGAAGTATAGTCACTGCTCAGAAAACTACCTCCTGAAGTGCTCATCTTACGCTCGCGCGAGATCCTACCGGGACCGAGCAAGTCATTCGATTTCCGGGACTGCATGGCCAGCGCATCGTGCGTGATCTTATTCCAGTACGCGTAGCTGTGGTCGCCCTGTAGCCAGAGCGGGTTGTCTTGTGTTTTGCCGCCGGCTACGACGTCTGCGGAGGAGACGGGTTTTGAGGGGGGTTGAGTTTTGGAGTTTGAGGCGGTTGCATGGCCGTTGTTTCCGTTCGCCCGGCTCACGTCTTCGCTTGTGCGGTTGCTGTCTGGGCGGGGTCGGCGTGGTGATGGGGGTGGGGACGCAGTGAAGACGGATAGTGATTCGTTCGGGCCGAGACTTGAAGGTCGGGAGGAGGCTAGTCTGGAAATTGCTGGGCGGTGCTGGGGGGATGGGGTGCGGGTTCGGAGGCCGGCGCGGGAGCCTTCGGTGCTGGAGCGGCCGTGGCGGATGACCGAGTTGCGCCATGAGACGATGCGCTCGGAGGGGGTTTTGTGCGAGGATTCCTTTCCGGTTGAGGAGGCGATGCTGCGTCGTGCGGAGCTGGAGCGCTTGAGGAGGCGCCGTGAGATGGTGGAGTTGGCGTCCCAGTTCTCGTAGCGTCGTTTTTGATACGCGCAGTCTTGTCGGAGGACTTTGATCTTGCCGGAGTAATCGGCAATCACGATTATCTCTCCGTCTGGGTGCTTGGATCGTGCGAGGTACGAGGGTGATTCGTGGGCCATCCTGCTCACGATGGATAGGCGAGGTGCTGATGCAGAGCGCTTGTGGGGGTTTCCATTTCCTTTGTCTGGGATTGTTTTCTTTGAAGGGTCTGCTTGCTCCGGACCCATAAGGGCTACCGGTGGCGGGTTGCAGATGTCGTAGATTGGGTCTTCTGATAGCGCCAGGAGCTGTTTCGTTGGAACCGGTGCCATGATCGCAGCTGTTACCATGGCAGACTGCGTCTCAAATACCTCCACGGCCTGCTTTTCAGAATCTCGTTGCACAGACCCAGTTGGCCAGACATATGCCCTGCGATCCTCACTTCCACATATGATGTACTTGCCATCATTGGTGAATGTAGCTCTGATTTGGCTGCACGTGTTCTCGTTACCGCGGAATTTAGCCTCCAACGTTCGATCATAGAAGTCGTACAGCCTGATTCGGGAGTCATTGCTGGTGACCAGTAATTTGATATCACTCTCGGTATCATCCTTAGCATCGTCCTTGGGAACCGTCATGGTGTCGATTCCAGTAATTTTACTACCCTTGGCGTTGCGCCCACGCGCCGATCGTACATGGATCTGGGATGATACTTTTAGGCCCTCTGTGTCATAGATGTTAAGCATGCCATTTAGACATCCGGCAATGGAATATCGGCCATCTGGAGTGAACGCCACTGCAGTGATCATATCGGGCACAGCAGTCACAAAAGCCACACTCTTATCTGGGATACTCCAGAGCCGCAGTTTTGTATCGAGAGATCCAGCCAGGAAGAAGCGGTCGTCGCGAGGGTGGAATTGGATCGAAGTCACAAAATCACTGTGCTGGAAACAGCAAAGACATTCCGGTCGAGAGATATGCCATAGTCGCACTGTCTTATCCATTGACGACGAGAGAAGGAAGTTGTTCTGGTTCACAGGTCAGCATGGCCGTGTCCCATCGAGTTTAATGTTTTGCGCATGCATACTTTACTCCAGCTCAGGTCCAATATACTTCCCGTGTGTCCCTCATACACCTGAACGGGCATCGGCTGGAATACAGGCGCCTTCAGGCCGGAAGTGTCTTGTGCATCTACGGGTGTTGCGTCTTCGTCTCCATTGGCATCCTCGCGCTCCTCCGGGGTAGCGATAACAGTCCATACTCGGACCTTCCGGTCCTGGCCAGCAGCCGCGAGATATTTACCATCTTTAGAAAACATGAGTGCCCAGACAGCCTTTCCGGTGTGGTCGCCATTCTGTGGCAAGGCCGAGGACGTAGATATCCGTCTATCTGCGGGTCTTGGCGATGGGCCGCTGCCCTGGAGTTCCTGGGCCAGAAACACGCGGTTGAACGTCTTATCCTTTTTGTAATGGGCTCGCACCTTCAGGTATTTGGACGGAGCAGGATGCCGAGGTATGAATCCAATTGGATGCGAAGTGTCAACGGACATGCGGTGCGCCTCAGATTCCGAGGTCTCATCTTCCGCCTCCGGCGGCTGATCTTTTTTCTTGGTTCCAATGATTCGGCTGAGGAAGGAGACGCCTTTTCTGTAGTCGAGAAGAGCCACGGATTAGTCACTGGTAATATAACGTATATATGTATGTTGCTGCGAGAATCCCGGGGATGGATCTTCTCAAGTGAACTATGTGGGGGAGGCGAAAAGAAACCCCCGGCACACAGGTGTCGGCGACACAAACCATCGGCGTGACTGGTGTTTCCAGGCAGGCTGACACATTCTAAAAACTCACTTCTTCTCTTTGGGAGGTTTTGATGGCAATGCATCTCCTCGCGTCGGGCTCGGTTCTGGCTGGCTGTAGTCGGAGCCCACGGCCTCTGCTTCGTATGACGCTCTTCCCAGCAATTTCAGGGGAATGGATTTTTGGGTATTGGTGCGTTGGATAATGTGCTACAATGATGACGGAGCACAGCCCTCCTGTCAGCGCTGCTCCTGCATCTCCGTATCTGCATCTCAGATGCGGGTTGCACAAGGCAAACAAGCACATGATCGGACCGGAAGAAGGGTCGGCCAATTCGGTGTTGCAGGTCTCCTGCTGAGAGCTTACCTGCGATAACGGATCTATAGCGCTTGACTCGGTCTTCTCGGCGGGGGCATTGGAGGTCGAATCTCGTAAAGAGCTACCAATGACCGAGCGTCTGGAATTGCGAGCATCTTGCAGACTAGGAGTCGAGCCTGATGGGGCATCCGATGTGGCCGAGCCTGATAGTTCAGTCAGCATTTTCTGCGTCATTGTCTTGTTCTGTTCTTTTTGCGCGTGATATGGACAGTCCAGAGCCAGTGGCCAGTGGCCAGTGGCCCATTGGAGTTATGCAGGCTAGATTTAAATTTTAAACCGCCCAAGCTTGTGAATTCATATTTCAAGATTCGAGATTCAAATCCAAAATCCAAAATCCCACTTACCGGGGAATGTCGAGGTCCCGAGGGGGGTCGAATCGGATATCGCGGGGCTCGTCGCGACTCGTAGTTGGAGATTGTTGCTTCCCTCCGCCATGTGTGTAGTCGCATGGGGGGTATGAAGAATATAATGTACAAATGGAATGCACAGTATTCACAGAGACTTAGGAAATAAAAAAAGGAAGAAAAGTAAAAGCGGCAAAGACCGGATACCGCGTTGGATGACATCAAATTGGGGCGATGAAGGTGGAGACTCGGTCCATTGCTTATAATTTGCTTAATGAGAATTTTATATCTATGAAATATAGAATATAGACAGAATATAGGTAAAATTTAGACATAATTACATTAAATGCGCGATTGAAGCCTTCTCGCTCGGTCCTTTGCAATATCACACATGCCCTACAAAGTCAGTATATAGCAAAACTCAACGATAAGAGAACATTACCTGAATGGTCTCTTCAATCTCTTTCTCCGCGTTAGCCCGGTCAATGCGCTGGCGCATTTCGACCATAATCATGTCGCGACTGCGCCCATTGACAAATGTGCTATACATCTTAGGTCAATATGTATAGACAACGAAAGAGACGTAGACCTACACAAACCGCAACCCCGGAAACTTCTCCTCGTATTCCGCATTCAGTGCTCGTAACTTCTCTGCCTGTTCCTCTGCGCCTTCATTCAATTGGGCTTGTTCCTTTTTGCTCAGCTCGCTCAGATGTTCTGGGTTGGCTGGGGCCCGGCCAAGACGCGGATGCGATCCCAAAATACCAAAGAGCACGTCTCGGTCGGTAGGTGAATTCGCGGCTGAGAGTGCAGACATACGACCTCCTACAGCATCAATGAGGTTGATGTATGAAGAGAAGGTCTGGTTGGCTAGCACAGGGGTCATTAGTTGGTGGAGCTCTGGGGAGGGTTCGAAGAGGGTATCGAGCACCCGAAGCTGGGCCTCTTGGGGTAAGGAAGGGATCGTCGATGGAGGGGGGAGGTCGACCATGGTGTAGTCTGTCGTATATGAGTATGACTATGGATTTGAAGGAATCTATTGCGATTAAGTATGGGAGTAACAAGTAGATATATGAGTTCCCGCTTTCGGAGGACGCCGAGGCGGAGATCAGCGGGAATAGTATTAGTTATGTTGTAGGTGTATAACTTCAAGTTATGAGTACTATGCACTGGCTCTTGTAAATATTTAACTATGATGACTATTTATATTCTAGTGGTTTCATATGTTTTAACTCTCAAAGATTTACTCTATTCCCTTGAAAGCATACAACATACAATCCCAATGTCCAGGACAAAATGTACATATGTACAACATGTACCTCTTCAAGAATCCAAGGACTTCGATTATTATCAAGAACTTATGACTTTATAAACATTTGAAGCATTTGAAGACTTGGATATTTTTTTAAATTGGGATAATCCAAGGTGGAGACTTGAGAACGTGTTCCCCTGAGAAGTTCGCCTAAACTTTTGTCATGAAACAGCCAAATCTGCTACTTTGGCCTTGATTGGGCACATCGCGATCTTTAAGATCCGATCCAAGGTCAACCTTTATTGTCCTTTACCCGCTTCTGGGGGCCACTTTTCCCTCTCTCTTCCTTATTCCTTTCGGCTTTGCGCCTCTATTCTCCATGCGGCTCACGCCATGTCTTTGAATGGGCTCGATTCTGCCCCCGTCGTGGAAGCCTACCAAAGTGCCCTGGCCGATGCGGGCGGGTGGTGTGTACCCCCTTTCGATGTTTCAACTTGTCCACTGTGCAATACATAAATCTCATACTGACACCCCTATGTTTCAGGTTTCTACTACACTATGTCGCAAGAGATGAGGTTGCTCTCCACGAACGAGGCAACGGCGGGGTGCCGGAAATCCGGAATGCCATCGACGGTTACGAGGAATGCTCGCCGCTCTATGGCTTTCTTCAATACCGGCGCAGGAAGGTGATCATCCGCTACATGCCGGACGGGCTATCCCGGCTCATACTAGGTATGCCCATCAACACCTTTTCATACAAATTGGTCTAATATGTCCCAGCCCGAAGCAATGTCCAATTCCAGTCCGTGACCGATAAATTCAGCCCGAACGACACTGTACTTCCTCTGTCCAAAGCCTCCGATCTCACCGAAAGCGCCTTGTCCTCTGCTTGTCTCCTTCATACCGCTTCGACTTCAATCACCTCTTCTTCAAGTTCTCTTCGCCGCCGCCGGCTGATGGAAATCACGGAAGATGCCGAGGAAAATGGCACAAAGGATGAAGCTCCAAAACCAATTCCACCTCCCCAGTCGGAGGCCCGCCGTACTCCAAGGAGCGTCAAATCGGAAGCTACCCTAGTGCCGTCGCCCATTGAACCCCCCGTGGAACCGGAACTACCTCCAACATCACCAGAAAGCGAAAAGGCGTCAGTCGACCTTATGCCACCCCCATCCCGGGCGAGCTCCAGAGCTACAATCTCTCGAGGGAGTCCCATCGAACCACAATCAGCAACTATGTCCCCCAAGTCCATGAAATCAAATCGCTCTCGCTCTAGTTCTAGATACCGAGCTATCTTGGATGAATTTCCCCGTCCTTCAGAAGAGGCCCGGTTGTCCACGCAATCCTCCCGCCCATCGATTCGAGATTTGGAACGGGCTGCGGGATACACCCCAAAGGTTAAGCTGGGACCCCGGCCGTCCGTGGATAGCACTGGAAGACCTCGCACAGCAGGCAGTACTCGAAATTCAGACCAACGACCTGTTGCGTCCCTGCCAACAAATATGCGCTCTTCTTCCGTGCGGAAGCAAAACGGTGATGCGCCCCGTCCTCGATCTCAGGGGAGCACTTTCGCAACCAAGCCCACTAGTCGTGTGCCGCCAGTCCCACCTTTGCTGGTCCCACCCCCTTCTATTCCTATTTCGAGACCTCAACTTTCCCCTGGCGCCAAATCTCTCGGAGCGTTGTCGACCTCCTCGGGGTTGACCCCTGAGAAAGAGCGTTTGATGAAGGCTTTGCAGCAAAGAAGGAAAAATATGGCTAAGCGTGCGGAGGAATCGAAGAAGAAGCAGGTCTCTGAGGAAGTAGAGCTCAAACCAGTGAAGGATATTGCCAAGGATATGGATGACGATAAAGAGAATCTCATTCAGATTCACTACCCTGATTCTGAAATGCTGCTGTCTGAGCCCGAGACAATTCGACAAGACCGGCAGGAGTTACCTTCGGCCAATTCACCTGTGCCTCCTGAGCCCGCCCCTGAGCTTGTTCACGAGTCTGTACTCGAACCCGCCTTCAAGCCCGTTCACGATCCCACTCTGGAATTTTCCCCTGAACAGACAATTGTTGAATCCGCTCCTGAGCCTGTCGTCGAGGCAGTTGCTGAGCCCAGTCTTGAACTTGCTCCTAAGCCTGTTTACCCAAATCCCGAGGCTCTCCTCGAACCAGTCGCCGACCCAATCGTTGAGTCTGCTGTGACGTTTGAGCTAGAGCAGCCTTCTGAGCCTCTTGAGGCTGAATCAGAACCGATCTCTGATCTTTCTCCTGCCAAGGCTGAGGATAGGCCATCCTTACCTGCTGGAACAAGTGCCGACAATCCTATTTCAGCTGATCGTGCTGCTACACCTCCAGAGACTGTCAAGGCGGAAACACAGCAGCCACCCCCTGAGGATGAAACACGCACTGAGTACGAGGACTCCGCAATCCCTGATCTTGCCCCACCTACCTTTAATCTTGATGTTCCACTTCAAAATGAGCCTTTGGATGCCCCCCGACCTGATTCAGAGGACGTCCCCGAAACACAAGTTGAAATTTCCCCAGTTGCACATGTCTCAACTGAAGAACCTTCTGAGGTGCCTATCTCAGCAGAGGTCCTTCAAGCGGTTCCCCTCCCCTCCACCCCCTCTATTACCCCTCCAGAAAGCACCGCCACGGAAACTCCAACCGGCCCCGTTTTTGTTTCTGTCGAGGCGGACAAGCCGACCCCTGATCAACCAATTGCCGAGAAAGCCGAGCCTCTTACCCTGGATCAGAGGCGCAAGATCCGCCTGGAGCCTATTCAAGTGCCTACCCAAGTGCCTACCGTGGAGTTCTCGGACGACGACAACCTCCTTTCCGACGATTCATTCATGGAGGAATTGACCTCAGCTACTGTCCAGGAGGCCAGACCAGTATCTGTGAAATCTCCCAACGGCGTCGATCACACCTGGAGGAATTCACGTGCCGTCTCGAGCCCGTTCTCTATGGGATCGCCGTCGGGTATGCAAAGTCTCGCAGTAGGCCGCTCCATTTCTAGCTCTCACTCTGAAAATGGCCCGTCTACGCCGGTACTCATGGCCAAAAAGATCAATGTCTCCTCTGGAATTTCCAGTCGTATCAAGGCCCTTGAAAAGTTTTCGAGTCGGGAAGGCACTCCCTTGGGTGCTAGTCCGGCTATCGGTGGGCCATCAGCCTCCTCATCTTTCGAGAACCTTCGCAAACGCGGATCTATCTCGGTGCCCAGTGGGAACCATGAAAGCACACCACCAAGCACAATGCATTCTGCTCACACCCCGGACAGCTTCACCCGTGCGCCCAGCTTGAGTCGGCACAACCGTCAGGTGTCCGTGGAAGTTACGCGCCCTGCCAACTCTGTTTCCGTGACGGCCCGTATCGTGCGAGACGCGGATATCTCTCCCGGGTCTTCTGGAGTTGAGCCCTCAGAGTCCGATGTTGTCAACCTCCAGGCTAGTCCTTTGACTGTAGAGCACGAAACAGCCGAGGCACCACTCCCTCAGGTCTCGACCATCGAACCTGCCAGCCTTCGCCAGGACCGAAGCACGTCAATTTCATCTACTTCGTCTAGTCGCCAGGCGACGTCTCGCTCTAACAGCCGTCCCGGAAGCCGTCCCTCTCTCCCCTCGCGCTCTAGGACTGACGACAGCGTCCAATCCGCCTCTTCTACATCTGAAGATAAGAAGATATCTCGTACCTCGCGACTCATGCGCCGGATGTCATCGCTCACATCCAACTCCCGCCGGAGCATTATCGGAGCCCTCAGTTCACCAGTCAAGGAAGAGGAGTATGCTCCCACCGCAAATGGGTCTAGTAAGGCTCCGGGATCTTCTAGCTCGCGTACCTCGGAACCCATTGACATTGGCGAGGTGAACGTCCAGTTCCCAGAGACTCTTCTGTGGAAGCGTCGGGTCATGCGCATCGATGAAGAGGGATACATTGTTCTCACGCCTGGCACCAATGATGCCACCACCCGAAACATGACTAAACGCTACCACCTCAGCGAGTTCCGCACTCCTTGTCTCCCTGATGAAGACATGCAGGAATTGCCCAACAGCATCTTGCTTGACTTCTTAGATGGAAATACGCTCCAGTGTGCTTGTGAATCCAGACAGGGACAAGCTTCTGCTCTTCAGAGTAAGTATTCAGCATCCATTGCATTTTCGTCGTTGAAGAATGAATAGCTAATCATCTACAGCTCTCGTCGAGGCTCACAGTGCTCACCAGCAATAATCCTCACATTTGGGCAAAGGACAGGACTCACGATAGATAGTCCTGTCTTCCATTTTCATTCTCTTCTGGCCTTCGTCACCCACCCTTTCTTTTCCTTTCCCAACTACAGGCATCTTGAACCTCCTTCGGCATCTATTTCTTATCTCTTCTACAATCCTCTCTGTATCCCTATATCCTTTCTCTCTCTTACCTCTCAATCTGGTGTGTATGTGTTGTGATATATGTGGCGTGTTCTTGGTATACCCCTCCGAGTCAAAAGAGTTTCTCTTTCTCTTCCTTTTCCTTTCTCACTTCTCTATCAACCTACTGTTCTTCGCCATGTACAGACAGACAGACAGTATTTCTTTGCTCCTCCTTTTGCTTGCTTTTCTTAATTGACTTTGCTCTAGCATACACACTCCGTGCCTTCGCATCGAGTGTTGGTGTTCTATTCAATCCACTGTGTTCTCTTCTTCTCTTGAGTTACTACTAGAATTTCTACATTGTAATCTTTCTTCTGATTGCTATCTTCGTGCGTACTGAATATGGACAGTGTATTGGAAAGGATTATTTGATTCCCCCATTCTACTCTGGCCAGTGGATTACGGAAAAAGGAGAGAGAAGATATCTCAATTGTGCTATTTCAAGCTCCGTGGGTTTACCTACTTTGGGCGGGGGTATCAAGTGGGAGCAATAAAAGCCCAATCCGAAAGTATCATCAGCAAAGCAAAGTGTCCATCAAACCTCTAGAGCTGTGCATGTCTAGCAAATTCGTTCCGTAGGAGGTCCATATCCTTCTAATCCAGCGACTTCATTTCCGCTGGTGACAAGCAAAGCTTGAATTCTGTGGGTATCTCTGTCGGCAAAGCAAATCGTTAGACAGTGTTCTTGGCGGCTGTGAATAAGAAGTAATTTGATAACATACCTGAGAGGAAAGCTCTGCAAGTGTGCAGCGTCTTAATTCCCTCCCCCCCCCCCAACTGGCTCCGTTGCGTCTTGTAATCGTCAAAGTCCAGGGATCTAAGGTTTTGATTGTTCAACCGTGTTTCCAGTTTCGATTTCCGATGAACCTCGTGGCACATAAACGATCGTTAATTTCAGGATGAAATCAGGCGTAGCCGTTTGCAAGATCCTCAAGCTCCTGATCTTCATCATCCTCTTCATCCTCGTCATTCTGCTCTTCTAATCCCCCTGTCTCTGGAATGGATGTCTGTTCATCCAGGGGAGGTTCACCGTTCTGAGTGCCATTTTGTTTACTTGCAGAATAGAACTCAGGGAATGCAGTGCGCATTTGCACCACATGTGCGTCAATGACGTATTGCATGAGGTTGTTGACGGGGAAGGAAGAATGCATGCGTTTCTCCGATTCCATCAGCTCGACCTTCATCTGCGTCTCCCACTCGTGCTCTCCGGCATGGTCTCCAATAAGCTTCTTGCGCTCGATCCTGTCGGTGGTCGAAATCACCTTCTCGCATCCGGGCATGCGACATGCCCAGGTAGCGGATGTCTCGTCGATGGATCCTTCATTTTCCTGTGAGGTATCTGGGGATTGATCGCGCTCTGGGGTCAGAATTTGACGTGGTGGCGACGAAGATGGGGGATGGGACTGGGGTTTGTCTTTTTTGATGTTGTCCTTGAACAGGCTCTTCATAAGAGAGGAGCCGACGCCGCTCGAGGAGGCTGACAAGAATGAGCGAGTCCGAGGCTTTGTGGCTGAGAATGGATCTCTGATTAATTCATGGCCACGGGTTTTGCTGGGTGTTTCGACCTCATCTATATCGTCAATATCGTCGATATCGTCGATGCCATCAGTGTCCTCTTGGTCTTCCTCGTCGTTGGATTCGACTCTCTGCTGGTTTGTGGAGGCATTGCGGTTTCGCTTGCCCGTCACTTTGTTGGAGACTGTGTGGACTTTTGGACGCAGCACAGACTTCTGAGTCCGGCCGTACCGTTCATCGTCGCTGGATTCTTCTTGCGAATCCAGGGGGGTTAGGAGCGCAGCCGGTAGAGGGGCTGACTTCGTGGATGCATGTGTGAGTTCCCTATGGATGACGTAGCGAGGCCATCTAAAGTCCTCTTCATCCATCATTTCCAGCACAGCGTCTGCCCTGGTGGCAATGATTTTCTGGGCATCTTCGTTGCTGAAAGAGAATCGTTCTGCCAAGCGTTCTCCCAGGAGGTCAATATGCAGGCGACGCTTTGCCAGATGACCTTCTTCTCTGAGGTCCTTGAGCAGCGAATAGATGGCATCGGCTTGTGATTTTGAGACGGCTGCAGGCCGATGTCGAGGTGTTGCCACTTCTGGTTCGTCTTCGGGTTCGCTTTCGCTTTCCTCAGAGGGTGAAAGCTCCTCTACCAGCCTATTATATTCCTCCTAGGTTTATTATCAGCATGCCCATATGCTATTGTAAACGAGGTTGCTTCTTTACTCACGTTAAATTGGCGACGCAGATGGACGAAGACATTTGTCTGCTTCCATTCCACATCTGCATCACCTTGGACCATGCAGCGAAGCAAGAAGCTAGCGTGTGTCGCAAAGACCTCAGCTGACTGTTCTCGGGTCTCACATGAGCCATATGTGTGGTAGGTGTACTGAGGGTGGATGCATCTTAGGCCTCAATCTGTATAGCGCATAAACCAGAATCGAAAGACTCACCTGTTCACAGAGACTCCTAAAAGAGGGATTGATTTGTCTCTTCCCCTGCTGATGCTTATCGACCAGGAAATACAGCAAGTCAATAGCCTGGACCATGCGATTGTATGTGGGTGTGAAACCCTTGGCGGGCGAAATGATGTCGTACCAGCCCGCCTTACCAGCGACCCAGAGCTCAATGCTCTTATCTTCAGTTTGACCGTAGGCATAGTGCGTGACTTCGTCAATAATAATGCGCTTAGGGGGGTTATCCGGGTTGAGCACTGGCGAGCGAGTGACTAGTCAGCTGTCTGCTTGATAAACGCGCATTGATAACGGGCTTGTAACTGCAACGATACACACCTAAGTGTTCCTGGTCCTCACGAAGCGGCTCTAAGCAGCCAATCACCTGCACTGGGTTCTGTTCTGTGGCGTCTAGTAGATTGGCATACAGCATCTTCCCGGGCTTTAGGACCTTCACGTCGGTCAGGCCGAACTCCCACCAATCGTTCTCATCAGTGACAGAGGGATCGGTGGGAGCTAGGACGGTTTCTTCGCGGGACGTCATGGTGGAATTGGCATGGTGGGTGTCGATGATAATGTATGTAGAAGTGTTGATAGGGAAGTAAGATCAAGTAAATGAGAATATGAGAATGAGAAGAAGGTGACTTGGAATGGAATCTGTTGTCAACAGTCGAAGTCATCGACCGCCAGTAAATTACAGATACAACAAGTTACCCGCAATTAATTACATGGAGTTTCTGCCTGGTTTATCCGGAATCTATACAATTATCCGTCACGTGTATAATGCATAATTACATAGTATGATTTTAAGGTTACAGAGGTCCACAGGTCCACGGGTCAGATCTAAATTAAACTCAGATCTAGATATTCAGACTCTAAAAGGCTACCTGCATGTGTACGTAATGCACCTACATATCTATGTAAATACTTCATGTATGTGAATTTTTATGAAATACTATATCCCAGAATGCTGCATGTTAAGCTGGCAGGAGGAGACTTTCCAGACGCTGCTAGGCACACCACTTCTAAAGGACTAGTCTCAGTTAGCAAGATTGGAAGGGCTATGTGAGCTTGTTGAAGGATGAGCCCGACCCACCTTTTTAAGTGGTGGATAAAGTTCTGGGCCTGTGGCTCAATACGCAGGGTGGACATTAAGTTTGGAAGAGCTATATGATGACAAGAACCATCGAGATGTGTATTAAGTTTCGGTGCTAGGCGTGGGTTACGCGGGAACTTTTTCTTGAGCGTCATCTCAATTCATGCTTTCTCGAGATCACAAGAGATTGGAAGACCGAACCATTCCCTCCTAAGGGTCAGCGGGGTTGTTTACTCTAGTATAGAGTTCAGGGCCGATCTATTTTCTTTGGAGGGCTCGGCTGTCTGATCTCTCCATCCGCAAATCGATTAGTAATGTATTGTCCTCTGCTCTGAGCATAAGACCGTCAGTGTTTAGATCTAGTCCAAGCCAGGAGGGCATTTCTTGTCTGTGTTCGAGAACGGTACCAGGATGAATGATATCAGCTTTGGTGTGCACAAGTTTGGGCGCCAATAACATTCTTGCCAGTATCATAAGAAGGGAAAATTCAAATAGTCTTGGTTCTGGTCTCATAGTTTCTAGCAATGTCATACGGTTGAGGACGAGCCACCGGTGGTTGTCAACTTGGCTATTGCACTCCGACAGAAGAGGAATGCGTTGGTTGGTCATAGCTACCAGGTAGTTAACAGAAGCTTACGTATTTATACAGTATATAAAATCAGAAGAGCCGCTGGCTGTAAGACAAAGTATCCAAAATGAATCTTGAATCACTATGGTCAGCATGTAATGTAGCGTAGCATGGCAGGGCGTAGGGAATTTTGAGACCATCATGACAGTGGGGTCTTTGAACTGCCCTAATTCCTTTAATGGGAGTTTAGTTATCATCTCGGCTTTCAATTTATTTCTGTTGTTTTCTCTGCTATAAAAAATTGTAATCTACAAGGGACATCGGAGAGTCAAAAAGATGCATCAACAATGCCTCCAAATCGCACTTGAAAAGGAAACTAAAATAATACCGAGGCTTCTCGTATTTACTACCGCAATATTTGTGGGTATCTCTATTAATGATCTAGAAAGCTGTGTATGAATTGTATCATAGACGTAGGGCAATCGCCTCGTAGTCCCAAAGAACTGCCGTAAAGGCGGGAGCCAAATCTCTACCAAAATAACTTTCTTTCCATTTTGGATTGACTTCCATCTCTCCAGATGCCATTCCCTCCAGGTTTTCGGCTTTTTCGCAAAACAATGTCCGGCGAGAAAATCCTCGAAGGCGTATTCGGTGAGCTTAAGTCCTGCTAAAGCAAAGACTTCGATCTGACTTCTCCGATAGCCGTCCACAAGCCCCAGGGCGTTACCTCCGCCGACGTGATCCGCACTTTGCAGAAACACTTCAACCCCTCCAAGACATTCAGACCATGGTTAGAAGAAGAACGCGCACGCCGCGACCGTGAGAGTCAGTTCCAGCGCAAACGCCGTCGCCACCAACGCCTCGACGTCAAGATCGGCCACGGCGGAACCTTAGACCCGCTCGCGACAGGCGTGCTCATCACCGGAATTGGCAAGGGTACAAAATCCCTCCAGGATTTCCTGGCCTGCACCAAGAGCTACGAAACCATTGTAACCTTCGGCGCGGAGACGGATACCTACGACCGCCTTGGAAAAATCGTGCGCCGCGCGCCCTACGAACATATCACGCGCGAAGCAGTCGAGAAGGCGCTGGAACAATTCCGGGGGAACATCATGCAGAAGCCGCCTATTTTCTCTGCTCTGCGTGTGAATGGAAAGAAGCTATATGAGTATGCGCGCGAAGGCAAGGTGCCACCGGTTGAGATTAAGCACCGGCCCGTTGAGGTCTTGACTATGGAGATTGTGGAGTGGTACGAGCCCGGCACGCACGAGCACAAATGGCCTGAGGAGGAGATGACTGGTGATGAGAAGGCTGTCGCTGAGCAGCTTCTTGATCAGGAAGCCTCTGTGCCAGAGCCGTCGGCCGAGGGTGACGCTACGAGCCAACTCCCTGAACCTTCTTCTGCCAAGCGGAAGTCACCACCCCCGGCGGATGAGGTGAAAGATGATAGTGAGGCTACTAAGAAGCAAAAGGTGTCTGAGACCGAAGCGGTGCCTGCAGCACCTGAGCCTACTACCCCCGAATCTGCAACCACTGTTGTCCCTGCAGAGGAGCCCAAGCCCCAACCTCCGGCGGTGAAGATCAAGATGACTGTCACGTCGGGCTTCTATGTCCGCTCGCTGGCACATGATCTGGGCAAAGCTGTTGGTAGCTGTGCTCTGATGAGCGAGCTTGTGCGTAGTCGTCAAGGTGATTACGAACTCTTCCCTGACAGGGTTCTGGAATACAAGGACCTTGACGCCGGCGAAGAGGTCTGGGGACCGAAGGTGGAGAAGTTCTTGACAGAGTGGGAGGAGAAGAGAGCCGCCAAGGCTGAATCTGAAGCAGCTCAATAGACTAGTCTATAAAATGAGATGGCATTTGTATATAGACTTGCTACCTGTAATATCAACCTTATTGTATCATTCGTTGCCTTTTATGGTGTAAGATACCTCGGTATGTAGCGTATAATATCTGCAACTCGAAAACTCGAAACTTTTCGTTCTTAAAGCTCCCCTCTTGTTGCTTGTATAATCCGGCTCTAGCTAAGAAGTCTCGCATTCGCAAGATATAGAGATAATAAATCAAAAAATCAAAACTGCCATTTTTTGGTTATCCAGACCCAAGCGAGAAAAAATAATTACATGATGCACGATACAAATGCAATGTGACAACATAACCCATCACGTTAAAACGATTAGTTGCGTCCCTTGGCTTGGACTCTCTTGCTCTTGCCGGGTCGCTTTGCGCCACCCTTCATCTTCTTAGCGGAGAAGTTGCTCAGGTCACCGCTGGACTTGGCATCACCGCTCTTAGCATGGCGCTTCTTGCCCCCGAATCCGAACTTGGCATCCTTCTTCTGGCGCTTCGAGTTACCGGGGCCATCACCACGGCTACGCTTCTTCTCGGGCTGGCTAGCCTCGTCAATGGCAATGTCGAACATATCATTGGAGTCGTCGGTAGGGGCAGAGCCGTCAGCCTTGCGCTCTGTGTGAAAATCAGGTTAGCGACTGCGAAACTCATAGAATGATATAAAGAACAAAACAAGGTGAAAACATACTCTTCTTCAGGGTGTTGATCTTCTCCAACATCTCGCGCTTCTCCTTGTTTCTCTGCTGCAACTTGGAGTTCTGAACCTGCTTCCCGAACTTTTTAAGATCACGTTGGCGGCGTGCCTCAGCAGAAGCCTTCTTTGAAGCAGCCTCTTCGTAAAGCTTCTTCTTGATCAAGTTCATGTGCTCGTCGTTCTTCACCATCTCCGCGAAGTAATCGCCCGGCCGCGTGAAGGGAATGCCGTCCTTCTTCAGCAGGCCACGGGCCTTTGTAGCAGCAGCCTGGCAGACCTTGTAGAAGGCCAATTCACGGTTCAGATCATCATTGACGTCTTCAACCTCGATCGGCTCTTTCGAGACTAGGGAGTTGTGCTCTGAGAATGGGGTGTTGGGACCGATGAAGGAAATGCGCTTGAGGGCGGAGAGGATAGCGGCAGAGTTGTTGATTGTCAAACGTTGGTGAGGAACGACATCCTCTCGCTCATCTTCTTCGAGGTCGGAGAGTGGGATGTCTTCTTCCTCTTCCTCCTCATCTTCCATCTCCTCGTCCTGGTCGACCTCTTCCTCTTCTTCCTCTTCGGCATCAGAGCTGGCGGCCTTCTCTTCTTCTTTCTCCTCCTTCTCTTCCACGATCTGGTCCCCGGGGGCGGCAGTAGCCTTCTTGGCCTTCTTCTTTTCCGCGGCCTTGATCAATTTCTTCTGCTTCTCGGCGTCGAAATCGCGGCCCTTGTGGGCATCGAGAGCCTGGAGTAACTTGCTGCGCTTTACCATGATTGCTTTGTGTTAAAATACAAAGAGAAAATTGTATTTTGTGTAAAGTGAAAGGAATTGAAAAGAGGAAAGCAACTTGGTATCAAACCGCATCAGAGAATCCACGGGATTTTTTTGAAATCGCGCCAGTCCCGATCAGGCTAGCGCTGCCGATAAGAGCACGCTAGTCCACACATAGCAATATCCCGGAAATACATATGACCCGATCTCTTATCGAGTCCACCGCCCTGTCAACCGTCTCCCGTCTCTACATACCCCGAACAGTCTGTACAGCGAGTGCATAGTCTCACAATGGTCGATGATTCCAAGTCTCCTTCTCCAGACAAGCTAGAGAGCTCGCCACCAGAGGGCGAGTCTCTTCTATCCCAACCGGTATATACCTTCTACAAGCTCCAAACCCCACTCTTTGCCCTTGCTAAATGCGCTCAGAACTCCGATGCCCAAGGCCAGCTCACCGCAGCTGTGGATGATCTGCTCAATGAACTCCAAAGCAAATTTGACAATGTCTCTGCGGAGATGTTCGGGAAATGTGGGTCCCTACCTCAACCAATACATATTCATACCTGCGACTGCGAACTAACCGATGTTTATTTGCAGTGGATGACATGACCAAGCGCCTTGATGAGCTAGAGGCGTCCCTAGCTGCATCCTCGGGGGCTGGTGCCTCGAGTCCGGCAACATAAATACGAACGCCCTTTGCCCATGATCCGAATTTCTGCATTGTTTTTCGCCTGGCGTTTTTGGCGAGTGCGCAATAAGCGCTGCATTTTTTGGGCTGTCCAGTTCTGCTGAACCCCTATACCAATAGCCAAACATATACTTTAATCATGGCATGCGCGATGCCTTTCAGGGGTGTGCATTGAATGGCCATGTAACTGGCTTCTGTCTGGTCTTGATGCTTATGCTTTTACGATTTCATAGATACCCAACAATCAAACAAGGATACTCGTACAGAAGAAGCATGTTGATTTATTTACTTGCGTGAATCAAGTTCATATAGCGCACAGATATCTGTGGGGTGAACCTCGAAGTTGGTACTCAATTCGTACAATATACAGTACCAAGCCAATATTTTCGTATACAATTCAATACGTTTCCGTCGAATCCGTGCTTTCTAGCAGTCCTGCTCCTCAATCTAGAACCACAGCGACTAGAGCTTAAGCAAAAAATCCATAAGGGAAAAATACAAACATCCAGAAACAACAACGACAAGAACTTAAAGCTCATCGTGCTTCTCCTCGCCAACAAAGCGACGGAGGATGTTGCTGCGAGAGACAATGTCATCCAACTTCTCGGGGGCCGAGCCACCCTTAGCCAGGATCTTCTGCAGGCGAGTAAGCTCCTTGGCAGCATAGCCCTCGTCCTTGCTCAGCTTCTCCGCGGCCTTAACATAGTACTCAGCGTACTTGTCCGGCAGACCCTGGGCGGCCTTCTTAACCTCAGCCACCAGATTGTCAAACTTCTGCGCCGCAACGTTCTCGGTAACAACCTCATCCAGAACAGCAATGGTGCCTGCCGAGCTGTCAAGACCACCACCGACGGCACGGTGGGTACCAGCCTTCTCGTTGACGAACTTGACAAAGGCCTCCTCGGAGCGTGCCCCGGAGTACGGCTCGGGCTCGGCGGAGCCCTTGGGGAAGAACTTGATGGTAGGGAATCCGGTGATACCCTGCTCCTTGGACAAGGCACGGGAGTTCTCGGCTTCGGCGTCGACCTTGGCGATAACAACGTTGGGCTCGAGCGCGAAGTCCTTGGCGAGGGTTTCCCAGGTAGGAGCGAGGGTCTTGCAGTCTGAACAAAAAACGAATAATTAGTAAAAACGAAGCATGAGACCAGACCAAACTAGACCAGAGGCAGTTCAATTAGGGAATCAACTCACGTCCACACCACGGCGCGGTGAAAGCAACCAGCACATCCTTATCGCCACCAACAACGGTCTTGAAAGAAGCGTCGTTCAGCATCTCAACCTTGCTAGCCTCTTTCTGCGCGCTACGAGGCTTGATGCCGGTCTTCTCGGTGATGAAGGCGGACAGGCTCTCGAGATCACGACCGCCCTTGTACTCCTCGGGCTTATCGCTCTTTCCATCGAACCACTTGACAGTAGGGAAGCCCTGGATACCGAAGCGCTTGCCCAACGAGCGGTTCTCGTCGGCGTCGACCTTGGCAATGGTGACCTTGTCTTCGGCGAAGGCGAAGGTCTGCGCAAGCTCCTCGTAAATTGGGGCGAGGGTCTTGCAGTGGCCGCACCAAGGAGCGAAGAATTCGACCAGCGCGGGCTTGCCGGTCAGGACGACATCATCGAAGTTGGTGGGGAGTAGATCTTTCACTGCGGAGTTGCTTGCAGTAGCGAAGCCGCTGAGGGCTGAGAGGGCTCCGAGGAGCAGGAAGCTTAAGCGTGCCATCGTGTATAGGGATATGGGTGTGAGTATACTCTTGGGGAAAGTATAAGTTCACAAATAAATCGGGTGACGGAGTTAAAGCTCGGGAGGCGATGACAAACAAAGCCGAAGAGGCCACTTGGTGACTCCACCGCTCCGCAGATCATCCATCTACCTCCAAGGTTGACGTCTACGATCTTCTAGTTATTCTGCTCTTTGGTATGTAATATGGACTTTCTTGTTCATTTTCTTGATTTTTTTGGTCTCTGTTGCTACCTGGGTAGTTAGTAATACACTGGAGAATTGCTGGTATCGCATTTCCTTGGGCAAGATCGGAGCTGCTGGCATGAACTTCAATTGCAAGCTGCGCTTGTTAACCCAGAATCCCCGTGGTGGTTGGTTGTTGTCGTTGGCAAAGCTTGCCCATATCATCGTCTCTCTGTCAGCCATTTGTTTGCATCTTCCCAGAACTTTGCTTCCTTGAACTCCTTGCCCGTACTCTGTGTGCCTGTGTAAACCTGTTTTGAAATCAGCTTTTGGTCAACATTCAACATCAGGCAATACGAACCGCATCCCACAGCTTGAATGCCAAATCCAAGTTTCCAATAAAGCTCTCACTGTGTTGGAACCATTCCTTGCCCTTCGCCTTCACATCCGCTCGAGCCTCGGGTGATGTCGGATTTGCTTGTAGCGGTAGGTCGTCGAGGTAAGTCCGAACCGCAATCCCAAGTCCACAGTCGTTATCGTCAATAAACGGAAGCCTAAGAGAATAGGTTAGAACAATAATCCAGATCCAGCATAGCTAGTCTAGAAGAAACATACTTGATAGCCATCTCAGTCCAGTCGTTGCGGTCCCGATCAGCATCCCCGCTGAGCAACAGACCAGCCAGTACCACCTCGACCAGATTCCTCAATGCAGAGCGCACCTCGGAAATCAAAGAGCGGTAGCAAAGGAGTTGACGGCTCAGAGGTCCAGAATATCCAATGCTCTTGTGCTGAAGCTTGGCAACGCATGCGACACGCGAAACCAGCATATTGAAAGTCTTGTCATCTTCTGACCCTCTCATGGGACCGCCAGATACTTGTGAAAACCAGTTCTTGGTGTTGAGGAGACCCAAGCGGATCATCTCAATAGCAATGAATATAGATTCCTCGAGGTTGTCCGCCGGATCTATAGCTGATACTGCCTGCACTAGACACTGGCCCCACGGAGTGAGCTTGTGCTTGTCGTCCACGTATCCACGCAGTTGCAGGAAGCGCCACATAACATTAGATAAGATATCCTCCTGTGATGAAAGGGCCTTTGGAATCTGTCAGTTATTGAAAGCAACGTCAGATCTATGGGTAAACTCACAGGTGTTTCTTTATTAGCAAATGACTTGGATGCAAAGTCAGAGTCGCTTAAGCTCTGGACAGCAAACTTGAAGGATCCGCGAGGCGCCTGAAGCTTCTTGATACTTTCGGAGAATTGTTCTCCATGGATCTTCCAGGAATGGATGGTTTCCTTGACTGATGGGATGCCCTTGAGGTTGATCGTCCGCTCTGAGTTCTCATCGAACCACGGGCGAATCCGAATGACTTTCGTTTGGTAGAATCGATGCAGCGAGTTTGCTAGAAGGCAAATAGACTGAGTGCGAAGGGGTGTCAAGATGTCACCCACGAGCTGGCGGTAAATTTCGGTGTCTTCGGTACCCAGCGGTAACGAGATGCGAACTTCGCCAGTTGTGAGAAAGTTGGGTACATCAGCTCCAATGATACCTTTAGAGAGATAGAAGTACAGCTCCTCTGGTAGGCGCTGCCCAATAAGCTCATGCATATCCGACGAGGTATTCTCTGGATCCATGGGACCGACTCGACCTTCCACATCAATGTAGACATGGTGCTTCACAATCATATACGCTCGCTTATACAGGTCTGCGTATTGAAGCTCCTGCATACGACGATCCTCTTCAAATTGGGCACACAGTGTCAATGCACTGCGTCCAGCTGCGTTGAACATGGGCAACGCATCACGAATGGTGGGGCTTTTTCCGGGGTAAGCAGGGGACTCAAAAAGTGGGAGGGAGCGCAAGAATGGGGAGCCCAGTAGTAAACAGAAGTCCAGGAACTGTTCATTGGAAAGACGACCCAGTTCCTCCTGGCAGGTTTGCTTGGTGATCCAGAAGAATTGCGCGGGCTCGGTGTCGATACGGGTGACCAGCTTGTCAATGTCAAACAAGAGGGCTTCGGAGGGGGCAAAAACGGCATCGACCACAGGATTGCTACCGCGGGCGAGGTAAGAGAGCTGTCCAGACAAATTGGTTAACAATTAACAATTCAATCGCGGCGCATAGGGTAGTCACTCACCTGAGCCGCGGCGCTGTATGGCGCTACGATGAATTCCACCGAGTTCTGGGTCAAAATCCGTTGCAGGTACTTGAAAAGGGTCTCCGGGGCCGGGGTGCCTGAGGGGTAGGTTGTGTCAGCGCTTGTTGGGAAGCTTCGCTGTGCCCAATGGTAACGATAAAAGCCCCACGGGTCCGTCACTGGGGAAAGATTGAAATAAGGGTAGTGAGTGGTCATACCAGCGCTGCTGAAGGCATCGACCACCTGGTCCGCCTGTTGCTGGTCGTAAAGTTCCCAAGCTTGTTCGAATGAGCGCGACGATGCGGGTTGGGTACGGTACTCTTTCTTGCCGAATTCCAACCCATTGAAGACGAAGATAGTGGCGACGCCAAGGTTTTTGAAAGTCTGCAATTCCTTCTCGATATTAGTCCTCAAGGCGAACGGGAATCCGCCTAGTGCGCCTAAGAGCGCTTCCCGGGTAGACTGGTTCACGAGGTGTTGGTTGATGTAGTGCGCCGCATCGATGCCAACAACGGCACCCTTCAATGCTGAGAGGGGTAGGGACTGGGTACGGCCAACGGCCCATTCATCGAGAGGACGGACTACTCATGGATATAAAGGGTTAGCTGATGCGATTGGGGATTGTGGAGCTGTGCTATTGCGTACTCGGCATGGTTCTGGAGCTGTCTGTCACGGGCTGAAAGCACGGCAACGCCGGGCATCAAAGCCCGAAGATGGGGAACAAGAGTTTAAATCAAAGGTTGTAAGAGCAGATCAAAAGCTCTGTGTCCAGGAATATGATGAATCGGAGCTGGGATTGTTTGGGATTTTGGAATGGGGGAGAGCGAGATCACGAGGGGGGAAAGGCGGAGTTGGAGTTCGCCCTTTTGTTTTTTTTTGCCTTTTAACGCATCACATCACTTCGGTTTTCGCTTGTTTCAACCACTTCTTTGGGGTTTCTGGTCTTTTTTCTGACTTGT